GTACCCGGGTTTCTTCTCTCCCGGTTTCAGCACATTGTGTACTAAGTTTTTAGCTTCCCGTTCTATTCTTTCATCAATTCCGGGAAACCACATGTACATCCTAGCAAGACCTTTCATTCTCACTATTCCTGCATGTGTACTGTGCAAATCCATTAATACCCTTTCTCTCAAGGTCTGTGGAATAATCACTCGCGTACCTTTTAACATACATCCTTCGTGCAAGGTTAACGAATCCTTTACTCTCCAGTAAGGTTTTAGCGCTTCGTCCGTGCACTTCTCTGGCCACGGTTTTCTACCTTGCACATAAGGAAAAATTTTCTGCAATGCAGAATCTTTAGCTATTTCTTTAGCTATTTCTTCAGCCGTTACAGGTAAACCTGCTATGGCTTCTTCGTGTAGAGCGAGTATTTCGCCTTCTACCTGCTGACTATCTTCAGACACTCTCTCGTCTGGGTTGGGCAACCTTGATAATCCGTCAGCGTTACCGAACTTCTCTGTGTTTCGGTATTCTATTTCGTAGCTGTATGTCATCAGCTTTAATGCCCAGCGTTGCAGTCTTTTTGCTGCAATCACCGGCAATCCTTCCTTCGGACCGAAAATCTTTAGGAGCGGTTTATGATCGGTCAACAGGAGGAACTTCCTTCCGTACAAATACTGGTTAAATTTCTCAATGCCATAGATAATGCCCAACGCTTCTTTCTCAATTTGCGCATAATTCTTCTCGGATCCGGTGAGAGTTCTAGATGCGTACGCTATCACTTTCTCTGTACCATCACGGTACTTGTGGTATATCACTGCACCCTAGCCCGTAATCCCACGCGTCCGTCGCGAGCACTATCTGCTCTGTAGGGTCGTAGTGTGCCAGTGTTCCACTGTCTACCAGTATTTTTCTTTATTTTATCTATGGCCATCTGCTCCTTTTTCTCCCCAAAACCCACTCAGCATCATTTTTGTCGCAACCGATTCAACGGTGCACTTTCAGATGACAGGTTTGGTATATACTTCCCGTAATAAGTTATCATGCCTAAGAACGATTGTAATTCTTTTAAGTTCTTTTGGTGGTGGCATCTTGACTATGGCTTCTACCTTTTTGAGGACGTTTTTACGCCTTCGGCGTTTACTATATGTCCCAGGTATTCTATTTCCGGTTTGAGAAATTCGCATTTCTCTTTCTTCACCCTGAAAACCATAGTCCTTAATTCTCTTCAGCACTTCTCTTAATCGTTTTATGTGCTCTTCGTCGGATGGCGCGGTTATAGTGATATCGTCCAGATAGACTATAACTCCGGGAACCCCCTGCAACATCGTTTCCATTGTTTTCTGGAATATTGCAGGGGGCCGATGCTACGCCAAAAGGAAGTCTTTCATATCTAAACAGTCCTTTCAATGTATTCAATATCAGATACTGTTTAGATTCTTCCTCCAATTCCAACTGCAGATACGCATCTTTCAGATCGATCTTTGAGAATTTCTGTCCACCATTTAGTGCATGAAATAACTCTTCCGGTTTCGGAAGCGGGTACTGGTTCACGTCCAGCCAGGGGTTTATGGTCTGTTTAAAAATCTCCACAGATTCTTACTTTTACCCCCTGGTTTCGGAACCACCACCACAGCTGAGGCCCATTCTGCATGTTCGACTGGTACTAAGATTCCTTTCTGTACCATTTCGTCGATATTTGCCTCAACCTGTGGTTTCAAAGCAAATGCGATTGGTCGGGCTTTACAAAATTTTGGCATTGCCCCCTGTTTCACATGTAATTTTGCTTTGACTTTTGTGCACGTACCCAGGCCGTCTTCGAAAATCTCTTGGTAGTCTGTTAACACTGCCTCAACCTCTTGAACAGAGTTTATCTTAGGCATTTCATTTACCAGATTTCTTAACAGTTTTGTGACATCGAGTCCCAATTGGCATATTACTCGGCAGGAATTATGCTCCGGGCAGACCCTATCTGGGATGCGGCCTTTAAATTTTTCGGTGCTTTTTTTCTCGCACATTCAGGGGCAGAACCGAGCGCGGTGACATTTTATTGCGCAATGACCTCGAGAGTGGAGTTTTCGAAATTCCGAGTCAATTCAGTGCAATTTCAGGGGAGAAAGCGAGCGAAAAAAGCGAATCTCAAATCTGTAATTTTCTCAAATTCAATTCTAAAATTTTATTTAGTAGATCTTTTGAACTTAAATAGAATCTGCAGCTATCGTAATAGCTTACCTCTTTTGCGCCCCATGGGAATAGGTTAAGTCGCACCGTTGATAATAATTTTTTTTTCTTGCATTTTGAATTTCGTGGTCAGCACTGTGCAGCCTCTCCTTTCGCACGAAAAAGACTCGAAAATGTTACGGTTTGTCACTACCACTTGCAAAGTGCAAAAGATGGGGAAAAGAGAGCAAATTTGGGGGTTGCACCGGGCCGAGGTGTCTGCCGAGTAGGTCTCTCGCCACAGAGAGAAACGGCCTTGGTGTTTAACATCATGCAGTGTTACGTGCGCTTTCTTATTCTCGAACTCAACCCACGAACTGAACTTTCCTTTGAATTCAATTCGAGAGTTCCCTGTAAGCCTTCGCGGTATACGCGACGGGTGTGAGTTTTGGTTTTCTCAGAAGTTCCCACTGTGAGATACCAATTATACTCATGGAAGCGCCGGTGTCCAGTTCAAAAATCAACGTTCGTACTGTCTACTTTTTATAGGTACCATGCATGCCGGATAAATGGCATTAACTACATTTTTCCATTTCCGCTAAATTTACGAAATCCACTGATTCACTGTCGTATTCTCGATCATTAGTGACATAGTGTGATTTTTTTACTTTGGAAATGTTTTCTTTTATGGTTTCCTTTGCATTTTGGAACGTGATTTACTATGTTGACTGCTTGACTTTTTTTGTTTCTATAGCAATCTCTGGACATATGACCTAATTTTCCACATGTAAAAACACTTCATTTTAGCCTTATCTTTGTATTGGCCATCTCGTCTTACCGGTTGACTAACCGTGAGAAGTGAATGTTTTACTGTGGCATTATTTTTGGTCATCTTTTTGGCTCTCTTTTTCGCGGCTGCTAACACAGCCACCTTCTTCGAGTGCTTCCGGTCCCGTAAGCTTTAACTTTTGTTCAACAACTGCGCTCTGACCTTTTTCTCTCTCAACCCTCTTACGAATAACATTGTAACCATCATATCTAATACATTTGTTACTTTGTCAAATTCTGCAGTGGGTTGCGATCTTTCTTAATTCCGTATAGAATTCCTCTGCTGTTTGACCCTCTGTTTGGACAATGTTTAATAACTTCACTCTTTCTGCCAGCGTCAATTTCTTTGGCATGTAACGCTTCCTGAGCAAAAATTATCAACTCGTCGTACGACAGATTTTCTATAGGTTTATCAGACAGGGATTCTATTTCTGCGTAAACTGTGACACCTATTTCGCATACTAATATGCACGCTTTTTTTCCGTATCAACCGTTACTTTACGCATCTTCAGAAAAATTGTTGAACATCTTCTCATATATTTCCCTATGACGTGCCCGGTACGTAGGCACCGGGTCCTTTCGTCAGGTATGAGTTTGATGACACAACAGGGTTTTTCCGTCATTATTTCTTTCTTTTTATTTAGTTAGTCCGCTTTACTGATCGCCACTTTAATGTATCTTTTGTGTGCGTGTCAGAAAGAAGAGTACTCGCCACTTATTTATTATCAGTGGTGAATAAAGATGGAGAGTGGAGATTGGAGAGGTAGTTGTCGATTAGTCCGTAGCTGGAAGCGACGGAGGAGCTGGAGGCGAATGGTGGGCGGTACGAGCAATCAAGATCTGAGTTCCCGACTTCTTTTTATACTCTTAGTTGGGATATCTCTCACGTGATCTATTATTTGATCACTATCAATTCACATATTCAACACTGAATGCTTTTCGTTTTTCATGTTCTTCCACCCTTTTTAGAATAACGATGTTTTGAAGGTGCTTGTCTCTCCGTCCGTGAATTCATTCATGTTTTTTTTTTTTCGAAAACCCGGCGACGCTTTAAAAAAAAAAGATTATGGAACAATTTCCAAGGATCTATTATTTCTCTTCAAAGCTGTTTAAAAAAAACAGGAATAAAAGAAACTCCTTTTATCTTTTTTTCCAGTTTTCAAATGCGTATCATTCTCGAGAATTTCTTCCTCACTTTACGCACGTATTAACTCAATTACTTCAAGCTCTTCTTTCATACTTGACACGGAGTTTGAAAAAAAAATGGACGTGCGACAAATTTGGATCTCTGCGCAGTGTTTCACTCGTCTTCATCTCACTTTGTTATCCCCAGAAGTCCGACGGCTCAGCAGACGCTTCGACAACACGCAATCCGACCAGCCGCCGATTGCTCCAGCTCCTCCCTCGAGAGCCCCGAAAAAGGAAGCGCGAGCCGGAAATAGTGCGCTGATTGCAGAGATTCGAAGCGTCTAGCCACGCCTTCCAACTTTTGGAATGTCTCTTTTTGGAAGTTATGACTTTTTCTTCGTCTCATGGGCTTTTGGCAGAGTTTCGATTTCTTTCTTTGTTCTGGAGCTTTGAATTGTTCTCTTTTTTGTATAATTTGAATGGTTTCTAGGCGATAATAGGCTGTAATCGAAAGGTTCCCAACGTTTGTACGTTCAAGAAGATCGTAATTTCTGTTCACATAATCAGCCTTTTTCTTGAAACTTGAACTTTTTTTTTGAATTAAATTTTGAAATCCTACACTTTCATTTGAAAAAGGAAGCTTCAAACTATTTTTGTTCGTTAAACACAACTTTTTGTGCGCAGGAATGCCGTTTTGTCAATTATCGCCTGTGTTACAATTCTGGCTTACTTTATTAGTTTTCCGAAAAGTTCAATTGGTGAAATTTCAGAAATATCTCGAAGAGCAAAGCCTTTCGTTCAGATACTCGTTTGAAAAAGACAGCAACGGCCTTCACATAGACTATAATTTTTCAGGAATGATGGAATTTGGAACTTGATGAGAATAGTTTGATCAACAGTCTTCGAAATGGCTCGTCGGCACAGGAGGTTCCTAGAAATATTATTCATCAAAGTTTGATATCAATTCTGTAGGTCGAAAGTTACGCGGGTAGTGAATTTGGTGAAAAAGATCATCGCATTTTTCTTCTCCCACATTGGTTTGTGTGCTTTGGTAAGTTTAAGAAAATCCCAAGTGTAGTCATCATCATCATTTATTCAATACGAATAATAATACAGTTCAAGGGCCGAAAAGACCTCTAACAGAACCAATTTTCAAAAAAGGAAATTTAAACATTGAAAAACAGCAACAAACCGTTTAAAAAGTTAGAAGATATTTTAAGAAAGTCAGCGAGAAGATGGGGGTTGTTTTCTAAATAGATTTTGAATCGCATATAATCATTACATAGATCAAATACAACATCGGGAAGGGAGTTCCAAACATTAATTATTCTGATACTAAAAAACGAGGCAACAATGTTACTATTATGTCTTATATTTGAACGTAAATAATAGCGATGGCGACGCAGCGCACGAACACGGGGGAAAAAGAAGAGACTATCGAAATCAATGGGGACTTCTCTAAGTACAATTTTATAAACAAGAGACATGTCAAAGATGAGGCGTCTTGTCTTAAAAGTTTTGAGACTATTTTAGTCGAGTAAAAACGACATTTTATTTAGATTAAATTGGAATGATTTTGCATTTTAGGTTGTCGGATACGCCCTACTCGGAGCCGTTATTTTCCAAGCTGTGGAACTTCCAAATGAAGAAAAGGTTTGGTTTGTATTAACTTACATTATATTTTCTGGTGAAGGTTCAATCGAAGTTTATTACGTTGGTTCAGAATCTATGCTTTTAAGAAAGCGATGATATCTCAGGAAATTGTTGCTTTTCAAAGTCGTAAAAAAGCGGTTGTCTAACCATTTCAAGCTTTTCTTTACTAGAGATGCTTAACAACGCGAGTAACGCTGCGGAAAACTTACCTAATTTTTCATAAAACTATTCATAACTAATTCAATTCATAAACTAACTAATTTAATATTAATATATATTGAATTAATTCATTTCATAATTTTGAGCACTTTTGCGAAACCAACGTAAAACCTGAGGCCGTATGCAATAAAGGGCAAAATGGTTTACCGCCATTTTCCTGAAACTCGTAAATGGCTACAATTAGTCTTTTTAGACTGAAATTGTTTCTTCTCTGTCAGAATCTTTTTATAAAGCCTTATTACTTTAGATAGAGTCGAAAACCATTATATCCTAGCGAGTTTAAGGTCTTTTCAATTTTCAGGAAAATGGTGGAAAATCATTTTCCACTTTATTGCATACGGCCTCTGCATCCAATAAACAGTTCTCATTGAGAAATGGGTTCGTGAATTAAGACAAATTTTTGTTAAGTTCAAACTAATTTTGAGAATAAGGCGAAGCTGTCAAAAATATACAGTACTGAGCGAAACTTTTGATAAAAAAAATGTTTTTTGGTAAATTTTGAGCTCAACTAACTGCAAAAATTCCCTAGGCTTTTGGTCGAAATGATCGAAAAACTGCAGAAAAATTAAAGTAGTTTTGAGACACGAGGGTGAGCCAATTTTTATTCTTTGTGCCTACTCTAAAAAAAATGAAGGTGTACCCCGCGTTGGACCTGCAGGTCCCTGGATGGCGTGCACCCCTGGGGCGACCGGTCGGAAATAAGAAGTTGCTTTTAAGCTACCGTAACAGCCTAGGATGATACCCTAGGTAATAGTTATATTGGGAAACAAAACACTTCGAATTCGTGTGCGGAATAAGTATCTGTTAAAGCTTTACGGGGTACAACCAATGGTTACACTGTGGGGTGTACCGCAACATTTGTTAGAGTAGAAGTTTGTACAGTATTCCAAGTTTTTCTCTTAAAAACGCGATGTTCAATTGAACTCCAATATATGAAGGCTCCTTAATTTATTTATTCGTCTTTCGAAGTAATATCAAGTTTAGATCCAACTGGAGATCAAGCAAGCTCGGCAAAACGCCGTCGACGTTGTTTGGGACACGACTTTCAGTGTGAATCGTCTTGACGCCAAACAGTGGCAACAGACTGTGTTCCGAGAGGTTTTTTATTGACTTAATTTTTTGTTCTTTGTAATTGAAAAAAATTTGTGGTATGGCGGCTTTGACTTTTCCGCTTTTTTCTGAAAACAGAGAAGGCCTTAAATATGCCATTAGTTTATTTATTTGGAACTTCTCTGGTGTGAAAAAAAGGTTTATAAGAACATTCAGACAGGGAAGGACAATTTTTCAGTTGAGAGAAGACTAATTGAAGTCATTTTTGATTTTCAGAAAAATCGCGGTAAATCATTTTGCACATTAATGCGTAGGCCTCGAAGAGGAAATCAAGACAAAATGAAAACAATTGAAAAATCAGGAATTGACTTGATTATAACTTTATTTTTCTCTGTGAAATTTGGTTGAAAGATGACTTTTTTTCGAAAATCTGATTTAAAAAAACAGATTTGCCATCAAATTTAGCCGATAGCTTACGGATAAAATTTTGTAAAAATTTTTTGTTCTTGTAAATTTTTTGAATCTTACAACGCAGGAACAATTTTGAATTGAAATTTCTAACTTGTCAGGTCAAACGATTCCAAAACAAGTGCATAAACGCGATAAAACGGGGATACGATGGGAAGGAATTCGGCCAACAGGCTCAGTGGACCTTCACGGGGGCCTTTCTCTACAGTTTGACGGTTATCACAACTATCGGTTGGTTTCAGAGAACCTTTATGCTGATTCTGGCCTAACTTTTCGTTACCTTCGAATTGAAATTCACGAATTCAGGCTATGGAAACACTTCGGCGAAAACAAACTTTGGGAAAACGTTGACCATGTTGTACGCAATCATTGGGATCCCGTTGATGCTTCTTTTCTTGACTAACATTGGTGACGTCATGGCTAAGATCTTCAGGTTGGAAAGGGCTTCAAAAGAAAATTGAAATTTTAAACCGTTTTGCTCGTCTTCTTCCTGCTGTTTTAGAAGATTTTGACCAGAAACGAGTTACTGGGATAAGTTTTAGGGGGCCCTATAGGGGGTAAATTAGGGCCCCTTGGAGGGGGCCCTATAGGGGTCCCTAAATGAAACCCTATAGGGACCCCTACGAATTTTTTTAGGGGTCCCTTTAGGGGGGCACGGAAAAATTTCTGAAATAGCTCCGGGAGAAAAATAGAGAAACCCTTATTGAATGCGAATCGTTAACACATCCGCAGTAAACTCATCTCATTGCGTTTGAAACTGTTTCCAAATTTATTGAAAGGAATTGAAAAACATTAAAAAGCAATCAGGATCATCAATGGAAACAGATAGACATAAGTAACAAAAACAACGAGCAAAAAAACTGAAGATATGTATACGTAACAGGATATTCGAGGAAGCAAAAAAACTTTTTGGCCGTAAAAGACCCGTATAAATATTTGACACGTCTAAATCACAGCCAACGGAAACCGTATAGATCAATCTAATAGAAGCTCTTCAATACAATAAAGATACGCCTAAAGCATATTGATATAAGCGCTACTTGCGAAAAAATAGAAGAAAAACGCGTTGTGTCAAGGCAAATGGTTGGGCAACTTTCAATAAAAAACGTTGGGACTTCCGACACGGAAACGGTTGAAACTACTTAGATAAGGGGCAAAAAGTTTGGCACATATAAAAAAGAACAATTGAACAGTGAGCAAAAAACAACCAACGTTGACATTTGAAAGCAACTTAGTGAATTGCTCGGCCCGCGGTAATCTTCCGTTGATTCTGGTTCATATGGCGGCTCGAAATTTCCGTCGGCTGATTCCGTGCTTCTACGATCATTTATCATTATCAACATTTTCGATATACCTTTCAGAATCTTCATCGCTGCTGTAGAACCAATGCGCATCAATAAAATCCGCGGCATCTTAATAAAAAATTAAGTCTTCTTTAACGATCAATAATCAAATAGAATATATAAACACGCATTTACATCAAAAAAACCTCCAACAAACATCATCTACCGGTGAATTTCTAACGGTTTCACACAATCCAGTAGACCAATTATACATAGACGAAACTCTGAAAAATACCAAAAATAAAAAAATACTCTGAACATATTTACACAAACCAATATATCAATTGTACATAAACGAAACACTGAAAAATACTGAACCAATGTACAGATTGCCGTGTTAACTTTTATGGAGCACAAAAAAAAACGCACAAATCATTATAATACAATTTGAAACCATAACGAAAAAATCCTACTGACAACTCGTTCGTGAATAACGTATTACTTCCTTAATTAAAGCACCACAGAAATTGATGAAATATAAATACAAGTTATAAAGTTAAACTAAAACTGAGTCGACTGAGTCAACTCAAAAACTTAGAAAAATGAGAAAGATATTTAAAAACCACGTTCGTTCCAAAGGGGTCTTCGCGACCCCTTGAGGGTCTTGCAATTTTTTTAGGGGAGCGATTTAGGACCCCCTATAGGGGGCCCTAGGGATTTCCCCCTAAAAAGGCCACTTGCAGACCCCCTATAGGGCCCCCTAAAATCGCGACCCCCTAGAGGGCCCCCTAAAACTTATCCCAGTTTAGAGTGGTAAAAACACCGAAAACTACGACCAGAAAAATAGCAAAAATGATTCGCAGTCAGCAGGATTCGAACCTACGCGGGCAGAGCCCAATTGATTTCTAGTCAATCTCCTTAACCACTCGGACATGACTGCTGCGGCAGGCGGCGCTAAACAAACCGTAGGCACCTGTTACAGATTCCTCTACGCACAGTCGATTCGTCTCAAGTTTCGGCTAATTTTGTGGCATAAAAAGAGAAAAGTGAAGTTTGAGACGTGACTTCGAAAAAATTTTCAAACTTTAGGCGGCAAAAATTAGACGAGCGAATTCTTTGGTTTCCCGTCTAACGAGAGGTCATCGCGTCAAGGCGGAATCGTCCATCGACTCGTTTGGATTGGGTTAATTTTGCTTCTTCTCAAAAAAATCATTGTAGTTGTCTGTTGTGCTGTTTTTTCAAGAAAGATGAATTTTTCTGAATTGTAATTTTAGGGGGAGCTGACGTTGAAGATTTGCTCACCGCTCGTGTCGAAATGGAACAACTGGAGGTTTTTTTAAAAATATCACCACTTTTTTTCGCAAAAAAATTTTTTTTTATATCAACTTGCTTCCTTGGAAATAATATTGAGCTGAAGAATCAATTCAATTTTTTTATAGTTTTTTGACAAAAAAATGAACCTTTTTAGCAAACTAAATTCTCAAACATTTAAAAGTACCATCTAGCAAAAAAAGGACCTAAAAAAATTCAGATTGATTAACAACTTTTTTTCAATTCTTCATTTGCCTATCATTCTGATAATTTTTCACTATTAAGGTCCGAGAAACAGCCGCGGCTCAACTCGAAAACATTTCTGTACCTGTCTCCTTGGTCATTGTCACCATGATCACTTATTTATTAGCCGGTTCGTTAATTTTTTCAGTGCTTTCAAGTTACAAAAAAAGTTCAGGTACGATTCTGTTCAGCATCTGGGAGGAGTGGTCGATTTTGGAGAGCTTCTACTTTTGTTATATTTCTTTGACAACTATTGGTGAGAAATAATTAGTTCGCATTCAAGTTAAGTATATAGTTGTTTATTACATGAGGTTTTCGAAGCACTCTATTTGAAAATGCAATAATATTTTTTCGTTAGCGGGAAAATTTATTTTCTAGATTTTCCGAGGGACAGCTTTTAAATGGGTGACTTAGGGACTCTAGAGCGGTTTCTATTGGGGCAACCTTAGGGGCTCTTGGTCCCTCTAGACTATTTTAGCAACTCCTATGGGGGCCGCTAAGGCTTGAAAAAGTGGGCCCTTGGAGGGGTTTTAGTTAGTGGGCCCTATAGGGGAAATGCTGGTAGATATTCGTTATAAACTATATGCGAAGAAGCTTTTCCATGCGAAAAGGAGCTAAGGGGACAAGAACTGTTTGTTTCCCTCACCCCTATAGGGACAACTCTGGAATTCCTAAGGATATTACCTCCAAGTTGAAATAGACGATTCACTTTTTTCTTTCATTTTTTTCCCTTTTCAAGACTGTGTCAATTTGAAGCTAAATTTTTGGATTGGATGCAGATTCTCAAATCAAGACCCATATACTTTTTTTTTCACCCATGGCTTCCTTTTTTTCAGTTCAAAATTTTTCAGGATTTGGTGACAAATTTCCCGGCGGTTCGGTTGGCGTCGACGAAGATGCACAGGAGCAGCTGGTCATTACAAGCATTTATTTGCTTTTTGGCATGGCTCTTCTCGCTATGTGCTTCAATTTGGCCCAGGAGGAGGTTCAGAACAAAACGAGGTGTGTTTTTCATGGTTTTCAAGAATAATATTAAATAAAAAAATGTATACGCGAGGAAAATGAATAAGAACCCAAGAGATTTAGTTATTGAACTTTTGATCTGAACTGGCTTGAAATTTTTCCAAAAAAATATTTTCCTATAAATATGAGGCCGTGTTCATGATAGAGAAAAAAAGGTTTTTCCTGAAATAGGATAAATTGGTTAGATGTTCAGATTTGAAAATGTGATTTTTTTCAAATAATGATTAGAACCATTGTGGAATTGAAAATATCTGTTCAATAAAATTATGTGAAGTCAAAAAAGAAGCGTTTTTCCAATCTTTTCTACCGGATCTGAACCACTAAGTGACCACTCAAGTTGCTTAGCACCCCTATAGTGATCATATGAAGTAGTCAGTAACCTTCCCATAAGAGAATTGCGCCTAACTCTTCAAGAAAAAAAAAAAGAAAACACAATTCTTTTCATAATTTTAAAATTTTCACGGTTTTTGGTTTGCAGGGCCTTTTTGAAATCAAATTATCTTATTTTATCATATTGGCGCACAAAACATTTTTCTGGTTGAAACCGTTCTTCGGACATTTTATTCTATTTCATTTCAGATGGATCGCCAACAAGTTCCGATCAAACGATGACGACGATGATTGAGAAAAATATTTTTTTTTTACTTGTGACCAATTTTAATGCCTTTTTATCCTCGTGTTATGTGTAATTGTATTTCAAATGAATTCATTTCACTTCCACTTTCATTTTAAAGAGAAATTGTGAGAATCGCGTCGTTTTCGATGTTACTTTGTTTAGTTTAAAATCAAGTCAATTCGGAATACAGTTAGCTTTTTATTCAATATCCGATATAGCGATAGTACGTTGGATTAAATTAACAATTGAAATCAAAATTGGGTGATAAGATATAAGATAGGCACCAAACTGCTCGAAAACGCGAATTTTTAAGATGACAAAAAATAAAAGTACAGAATTTAAGCGGCGATTTGCTGTTGGCTGGGAGATTGCTTGATTTCGCCAGTCACTGGGTTGCGAGCTGAAAAAAATAAGATTTTTTTTTAAATTTTTATATTTTTTTCTTGGTTTTTATTTGGAAATGTCGGAAGTTTGATTCAATTTTTTTGAAATAGTTAAAATAACCAAAAAAACTATGAGGGAAAGTAGATCAATGAAGCCGCAGTTTCATTCCCATTCTTTCAAAATCGAGACCATTTTTTCGCAAAAGTTTCATTTTTCACATTTTCGAATACATACAAATATGATTCAAACTTCAGTTTATGAATGAGCCTTTGGAAATTTCAATCTTTAGTTCATAAATTTTGAAATTTCTTATTGACAAATAGTTTTTTTCGCGTCTAGTTTTAGCCCATTTCATAGTAAACTGCTACTTTTTACAAACTAATTTGAAAAATTAAAAAAAGCAGTTATTTTTGAGCAAACTTCCAACTTCGAAAACTGAAGCTTTGTGATTTTTTTCAAACTGAATTTTGAACTTCTAACCCAAAAAAAATGCACAACTTTCTCTACTGTGGTTTCAAAACTGGCAATAAATCAGTTTCACGCTCTTTTTTCAAGTCATTTCTAATTTTTCCGGTAAAATTTGTTCCACCATTGAAACAAGGCCCTCAAAAGACCGGCCAAGCCTAATGGAAAGACAAGCAATTTATCCATTTCTCCTCGAAAAAAAAGAGTAGACGAAGGACCACAATTCTATTAACTCGAAACACACAAATGGGAATGGATCTGCGGGTTTTTCGGTCATTTTCAGTGGAAAAATGAAAGTTTATAGGGTTTTTATGAGGTGTTTCTTGGTCGGTAGAGTTAAAAGGGTGAATGAGAAAAAGGAATTACCCAAAGTGGGGATCGACTTCTTGGGTGTCCGAGCTGGAGAAGGCGGGGCGTCGTCGAAAATTTGCGATTTGTAGGTGGGTGTCACCTGGAAGAGCGGTCATAATTAGCTAATTTGACACTGTTTTGAAAAGTGCAAAAAACTTTTTCTTTCCTTCAGTTGTTCTCTATTTTTTGGCATTCTAAGTAGTTTCGACCGATAGTTATGATGAATTTGGACGGTGCTTTTCGAAATTTCGGGAAGTGGAGATTTTCGAAGTATATTTTTTTCATGAAATGACAGCGAAAAAGTAAGGAGTTTGAAATTTCTTTTTCGGCACAGTAAGGATCAGTAGAGTTCAAAACAGTTTTTTAACTTTGAAATTAGCATATGAAAACTGAAAAATTAAGAATACTGAGTTTGGAAATATGAGCAGTTACAGTGGAATATTTTTTTATGTAATTGACTAAAAAACGGCTGAGAGGAGTTGGCTTACAAAAATCAATGATTTATTCTGAAAGTTCGGAACATACTTCTGTTAGAAATTTTTGGACGCCCAGAAAAATTTTTTTATTTATTGAAATTAGACTCGAAAAAAATTTTTCAAAGCTTTCAAGTTCGGAAAAAAAGTTCTATTATTTCTCAGAAAATGAGGAAATTTTTTTGTTCGAAAAATTGCTTATTTCTCTCATTTTTTTATTATTTCTTTGACTTATCTGTCGAATATCCTATCGATAAAATGCAATACTTTTTTTATTTGAACTGGAAAAAAATATTTTTTTAATTTTCTATAAAAACTCAAAAAAATTTCTTACCCTTTTTAGGAGAAGCTTTGACGGGCTCCTGGCCGAAAAAGCCGATCACGAGTGTTGGCGTGCTTCTGAAATCGTCATTTTGAGGTTGTTTTCGATTGAATTTCAATAGTTCAATTTTTAAAAAAATTTTAATATTGATTTTGAGGGTATTACACAGTTTCTACAGAAATTTTCAAAATTACAGAATCAAATTATTCGCTCAAGGGTCGGAAAACAAATATATTTAAAAAAAGGCAGATTCAAATAATATGAAAGGCGTTTCAAAACCCCTATATGTTTTTTCCAGCTATTTGCTTCTTCAGCTTCTTCTTTTCTTCAGTTTTTTTGTTTTGTTTTTTGTCGCATCCTTAAGTTTGAAACGGAACGGAACGGATATACGGCCTTCAAACATTCCAAGAGAGCCTTTTCCAGTCGCCCCATTCTCTTGGGGCAGAATTGGGAGAAAAGTCGTTAGAAATGGCTCCATTGAGACTAGAAAAAAAGGTTCTTTAGTTTCGAGAATGAACTGAAGAATACTTTTTTGGATGGAAACTTTTAGAGCTCTCAGAAAATTAAACGGAATGAATAGAAGAAATTATTTTCCTTTCGTAAGGTTTTTGGACTTTGAAAAGTTAGACCGCGACGCGTGAATTAAGCGGAGCGGTTCGATGACGTCATTTTCAAAATTATAGTTTCAAAAGAAGTTATGACGTCATCTCTTAGTCGATGAATGGTAGAGTTCCTTTTCATTTCGTAACGTTTAGAATGGTGAAAATCCTTTTTGAACCAGTTTTTCAATCTTATAAAGTAAAACCGCAACGCGTGAGCTGAGCGGAGCGGTTCCATGACGTCATCACTGATAAACTTTTCTTTCTGATTTATTAATGAGGTCATTACTTGATTGGAATTGAAAAATGAGATTTTTACCGGAATTTTGAGTTGATTTTACTCAAATTGATTGTAGAACCAGGCTCATTCATATCAAAGCTTTCTACAGAGAAAATTTATGGTTCGTTAAGTTTCAAGTTGAATAATTTGAGTTTGTTTTTCATGATTACTGTAGTATTGAATTGAGAATCTGAAATTTTCATAATTTGACTCCTTGGTAGAACTTTTTTGAAAAACAAGAATAATTCTGACTCTTTTGTATTAAAACAGCTATTTTTGGTCAGACATGCGTCAGAGTTAGCAATAACCGAAAATATTCAGCCGAGTGTTCGGTCCGGCCAATGGCTCTCCCAGTTTTGTGTGACCAGAAGCGAAATGAAGCGCACTCGGCTGGAATGAACGGCTTTTCCGTTTTTCCACCACGAAATTCTCTCCCCTCATCTAATGACCTATTGTTTCCGGTGTTCGAGGCCCCTTCCAGAGAGCCATGTAAAAACAGACTTTTTTCGAGAAAGAGGAAGGGAATTTCGATCGTCTTATTTGTATACCCGAATTGGATCGAAATTAGTTGGGGATTTATTAATATGGTTTGACTAAACTCACCTAACGCATCGAAATTTTTTTTTTCTTGTATTTTTTTAAGTTAAGGGGGGCTATAAAAAGTTTGAGAAAGGGGGTTGGGGTCCTAAGCTGGACCTTTTTTATGATTATAGGCGAAAAAATCATGAGAACTTGCCGAAAAGTCAAGCTTATTTAATGAGAGCTTCCATTTTTCTAAAAATTTGAGCGCGGAAAAGATTTTCTTGTTCTCGGCAGTTAGTTAGGCAAAAATGCGCTCTACGGAGAAAATCCTACTGACACGAGTGAAATAAATGTGGCATAAATGAAAAAAATTATTTTCAATAATCAAACAAAAAAAGAACAGTTATTTATGCTGTTGGAAAAAAATAATCAATCTCAATGATCATTAATTTTTCCTCAATACTAAACAAAGAACAATCTCTTGCCAGTTTTGTGACGTCGTGAATTCAAAATAAGCAATTTTCCAACGAATTTCGTATTCTCGCTTGTCATCACTTCAAAAAATGTTTTTGAGAATTTTAAATTCTCGGCATTTTTTTCAACTTTTTCCTTTTTGAAGCAAGGTTCTAAGCCGTTTAAGACTTTGCGAATACCCCAAAAAGGATATTCCATAACAAGGCCACCGCTACTTCTTTCAAGGAAAGAAAAAACTAATTCCATTACCATGTCTTTCTCAAACCTAATCGGAAAACAATACTAAGTTGATTAGTGAGGCTTTCCTTCTGTTTTTCCTCAGCATTTTCGGATGGAACCCCGAAAATAAGACACTAAAATGGCCACTGGCAAAAGCACCAGAGTCCAAAAGGCCCACCATAAAAGGGGAATCCATTTCCGGCCGTTGCTGCAGCGGCAACATAAAATGCGACCGCCGCAATTACCCTCACAAAAACGCCACAATTACATGGCTTGATTAATATTTTCCTTTCTTTTTTTCTAGTTATGGTAATATTTCTCAGAAGGGGAAGATAATAGTGGACTCTTACATCGTCGGGGAAGATTTATGGAGTCGAAAGAACGTTTTTTGGTCAGTTTTAACATCTTCTTTGCAAGATGACTGTTTTGAAGAAAAAAGGCACACTTTTTTTTTGTTTTCTTTCAAGTTTTTTGGCTCTTGGCAACATTTTCAAAAGAAAGAGATAATGGTGGGTCCTTGTGAAGCCCAGAAAAAATCATAAAGCCGAAAACCCTTAATTTAGAGGTGAAGCGAACTTTCTTTTGCAGTGTGGTTCATAATTTTTCATGATTTGAGCCAAATTTTCAATCAAAAAATGCTTTAAAAATTAATTTTCAACTCTTGAACAATTTTTTTTTCAAAAACTGAAACTTAAAACCATGTGGTTAGTGAAAAAAAAAGTTCCAGAAGAAAGAAAAACGCCATTATTGAGACCCTGTTTTGGCATTCCAGTGACCTTTTTGAACTGAAATCAAACTTTTTGAGATAATCGCAAACTGAAATTGCAGTTTCAAAGTTTCAAAATGAACAAAGAGAACTCAGAAAGAGTCAATATGAATATTATGAGACTTCAAAAAGCATATTCCGTTAAATTCAAGTTAATTTTTTGACCTTGCATCTTCAAATTGCTCCCTTGAGCGCTTCGAATCCATAGAAATTAAAATACTAGCCCCAAGTGACCGCTAATAATTTTCTCCGAATCCTTTGTTGCCTTCGAATTAATCATTTCGGCCGCGCCAAAATGCTCCAAACGGCGAACATTTCCATGTTAGGAGCAATAAATTTGTGGGGCTCGCCGAGCAGCTGCCGAGGGCAACAAAAGGCGACGAAACGGCTCCTTTGGGGCCGAAAAACCATCGACTTTATTTATCATCCGCCATTTCGCGGTGCCTTTTTGAAAGATTGCTTTTCTGCGCTTTTTATGCCGCTTCTCCTGTTTTCTGGCCTGGAGACATTTGGGAAATTAGTCCGCTTTGAAGATTTTTGAGCATTTTTGTGCTTCTTCAAGTCAATACTCTAAAGGGACTACTTGAAATGCTCAAAGACCTCCGATTCCCGTTACCGAAATCCGAGTTTGAGAAAATTCTTGATTTTTTTTTGGAGCTGCGTTGCTACAAAAATATTTTTTTCGCCAACCTGATTTTTTCCAATAATGAATTCAAATGAAAAATTTGCTCTACTGCGAATTGTAACTCGGACTTTGGTAACGCGAAACGGACGCGAATCGGAGTTTTTGTGGTATTTCTAGTGACCACTTTAGTAATGAGCAATCTTAAGTGATCCCTAGAATTGCTCAGAAACGTCCAGAGCGCATCTGGTTTCCGTTACCGAGGTCCGAGAAAAAAAGCAAAGTTTTTTCGGAAGCAAATAGTGGATCAACTATGTAGAAATACAAATATAATTAATTTTTTTTTTCAAAATTCGAGTTGCAAACTCGTTCACCTCCTTTTCGTAGGCTCAAAAAGACAGCGCGAACTTTTTTTTTCTGAAAGAACCAATTTCGTTTGTTTCCACCAAGTCCGCCACTAATCCTCCTTTTCCTGCATCTCTTAACGACTCCTTCTAAACCGAAACTATCGAATTTCCCGAGCAAACATTCAATTATTTTCCTTATAAGAAGGAAAAGCACTCGAAAAGTCTATTTGGCTTCGAAAAATGTTGCGAAAAGTCGCTTTTGTTTCAATTTTCGTCTCTTTTCTCTTCTCAACTCTTGCAAGTGAGGCCATTTTGAAGCAGTGGAACAAAAAATTGAGGTCCACCGGCTGACAAAAAAAAATCGAATAATCCCGGAAATGGGGGCGGCGTTTGAGTGAAATTGGCCACATTCTTTTCTCCTTCCATAAATGCCTGAGATTTTTGGGGTTTTTTTTTCGAAGGAAATAATGATTGACAAAATGAAAGATTGCCTGGAAAAACACTGGTTTTTGAGTGGTTGAGATAGGCAGGATATTCAAGGACCTCTGGACTTAAATTTACTTTTTTTTCCAACCCAAGAAGAAATCAATAATTCTTATGGATCATATTGGTGATGAGAACACGCGGAAGATTTACATTAATATATTTTTTTCGAGAAAGACACAAAAATTCTTTTGGAGTGTAAAAAAAGCGACGTCGCAGTGCAAAGTCTATACATGTTTGATGACTCGCGAAACATAGAGGCATTTTTTTGAGTTTAGTTGCTATTTTGGTTTCTTTTTCCTCTTTTTTTAAAATATAAAGCTGCAGGTTCGAAGAGGGGAAACACGAACTTCAGAAATTCAGAGCAGAATGAAACTTTGAAAAAAAAAAGAGGAAAAAAATTCCAACATTAGGAAATTTTTTAGCTTCTCATTACCGTGCTCAGACGTCAGAGCTTGGAAAAATAGCACTTTTAAAGGTCCAAAGTGCAGTGGTCATTGTTAAGGCGCACCCGACCAAAAGCGACTTTCGCTTAGACGTTAGAATTCATAGAGTTCGTATTTTAGATTGCGGCACGACTGAAAAACCGGCAGAGCCGTTATAAATGCGATAAGAAAGATGAAAAAGATTTATCTTTTTTTTTTGCTTTTATGATTTGAAAATTTTCTGTAGAGAAATCTGTACTTAAATCGGTTAAGAAATTAGCTTTTCCTTTCAAATTCCAATTGTGATCGGCACTTTTTCACGTTTTCCTATATCCTTTGGAACCTTAAAAAAAAGAGAAAATCTCCAAACTCCTCAAAAGAAAGAAAAAAAATTTGAATAAAATGATAAAAAACGAACGCTTGGAGTGGTTGGCTGGTAGACAGGTGGCGCAGGCTTTCCATTGACTGGAGCGGCTGGAGTGGCGGTTTCCGAATCGGCTGGCATTTTTTGAGTTGAAAAAAGGTCTAGACGGCTACACGATGGTGTTGCAATGTGAAGTCGTCGGTGCCTCGGAACCGAGGAGAAAAAATCCGAGAGGCGTGGCTTCCTGAAACCACGCCCTCGTCTGAAAGGTCCTTTTTCCGAGTCGTGGCCTTTCTCTTTCAGATAGAGATATTTCGTAGGAGACTTTCATTGAAATGAATTATATTCACAAAATTGATTGGAACAGTAATGTTGGACTCGAAAAAAAAGAGAAAATTTTTTTTTTCCTGTCAAACTAAGTAGTAAGACATTTGTGTATAAAATGTAAATTGATAATTTTTGGTGGTATGAAAAAAAGACCAGCGAAAATTCAAACGGCGACTTTTCCGAATTTTTCATACCGCTAGGGAACTTTCCGACGGCCACCTTTCCGACGAATCTTTTTTTCCGACTTTTTTTCTCAATAAAAATCTTCGTTTTTAATCTTTCTATATAAAGTAGGTAGTTGGTTGATGATTAAAACACAAAGAAATAGAAAAAAATTTTTATAGATTTTTTTGCAAATTGAAAAAAACATAAGAGAAAAAAAGTCGGAAAGGGATCCGTCGGAAATGTGGCCGTCGGAAAGTTCCCTAGCGAAGTGAAAAAATCGGAAAAGTCACCGTTTGAATTTTCGCTGGTGTTTTTTTCATACCACCTAATTTTTATTCCAAAAAACATGATTAGAAGAAAGTTTTTGTTGGAGCTGACTAGAAAATCAATTTTATTCCTTCAAAAGAGGTTCTTTCTTGTTGAAATTGGAATTTTCAATCTTGAACGGTTCCGTTCATCCAGTGATGTGTGTTAAATTAAAGCTTATTCTTTTTTAACTCCGACAATTATCATTGATGTCAGAAAAAAAGTTCGGACCGAACCAGGTGCTTCAAATCGTCATAAAGTTTATTCCCTAGATTTCTCAAAGTTTACTTCAATTCAAATTGGAAACATATGCCACAAGGACTTTAGTTTATATAGTTTTTTTTCGAAACAGCGGTTTTTTTGAAAAGAAAGATTTTGATTTAAAATAATTACTTATAGTCGTGTAGAATTTCTCAACGCGTCGAAAACAACCAAAATTATGAAAAGTTTATAGAAAAAGGCAATAAATTACGAAAGACAATGTAAAGCAAATAGTTGTTGTGACAATAAATTATGAATACAAAAAAGACAGAATTGAATTATTTTCCACTTATGAAGGGCTTCAGTTCACATTCGTACGTCTGCGGATTCGGTACGTAAGGATGGCAGCAACAGCGGCAAACCGAGCCGTTTGGCCTGAAAAGTTGTCAGGTTTACTTTTCCAGCCTTTTTTAAATTATTTATTTGAAGTATGGAATTTTCTAGCAAAGTTGAGAGAGGACCTGATTCGATTTAATGAAGGTAAAAGTTACTTCACCAACATACTTAGGGACGTCAGAGTGGTCACTAGAGGGGCAACCTCCGGGGCTTTTGTCGGCTCTCCCCAAGGGGACTCCCCTATATGGGACAGTAAAACTAGCAAAAGTGGTCGCTCTAGGGGTTTCAATTAGTGAGCACTCTAGGGCAGAATTTGTCGTTTTTTTTTTTAATTTCGTTAGAAGAATTATTTCCTGAAAACTGAAAACTCAAAAAATTAGCAATATTTGAATGAAAATATTAACAGAGCATTAAGAATCAGACCCTGAACTCCTATAGAACCTCTTGAAATTTACCCCTCTAGGGTGCACTATTTTGTCCACTGAATAGACCTTTTTCCCCTGACCCCTATAATGACAACTCAGGCGTCTTGAAGAATGAAAAAAGAAAACTTGATTAACTAAAACTTCCAAACTTCTTCCAACCCCAAAAAAACGACACGGAAGTCGTTGAGACTTGAAGAGCCTCTTTTTTTCAAAATAAAAAAGAGGCTCAAAAAAAAAAGTGCGGATTGATTGCCGACAAATTGCCCCTTTATTTGACAGGCGAAAGTGCGGGAAAGTTTGAAAGTACTGAAATTGAGTCGACGAAAAAAGGTTTTTTTTTCCATGAAGCTAGTTTCGTAACAATTCTTGGGATAATGTCTAATTAACTTTTGAAATCCGTTGGATGACTCACAAACAGGAAAAGGAGAAGAATCCATTTAGAGAAGCTGTTGAAGAGACGATTATTTCGCAAATAAATGGAAAAACTTTTCAAATTTTCAGCTTTTATAAATTCTGTCGTGGAAGTCTAGTTTTTCCAATATGTTGACAAGCTTAAATTTTTAGAATTTTTTTCAAATTTATCTGATTATAGTTTTGCGGCATTCTTAAACTTAGTGTGAAAGCAGTCATCATGATTTTTTGGATCTAGTTTAAAAACTTGAACAAAATTATATTCATTATTCAATTAAAGTGATGAAGCACTGTTTTAGGAATTTATTTGATCCGAATCGCTCGATTTTGCTGAGAAAACTTGAGGAAAAAGGAGTTATGTTATGTAAACCAATCGATTTTGTTAACAAGAAACTTTAGGAAAAAAAAGCGTCAAAAACACATTGCTACCGCTTTGCACACTTTTGCTGTTCCAAGAATTTCGAAAAGATTAGCTTCATTTTGAAAAAAAAATTCCAAATTACCTGTGCTCGGGTACACAGGAAAGATATTCCAATCCGTCGATGATGGCTTGCATGCTTTCCGTGACGTTTGGAAGAGCCACGGCTGGATTCGGCCAAACTTTGCAGTCGGGCATGAATTTCGAGACGCAAGCCTGTTGATTTTTATCGATTTTCAGTAGTTCACATAGAGTTCCAACACTTCTCATGGATTAGGGAATGAGCAATCGGACAAAAACAATAATTTTTTCGGCCTTTATGGACAAGTATAGAACTGAGAAAGCTTCAGTTTTGAACCTTAATTGAGCGATTTATCGATTGATGATTACTAATAACGAAAAATGATTTTTTTGAAAAATAATACGTTTTTTTATTCAACTTTTTCAAGGCTATATCGAAAAACTGCAAAATAATTTTTTTTTTTCATGAGTTTGGAATTCCCTACAACCTTTTCACAATGCTTTTTGATGAAGCATTCTTTGCAAAAATGCATTTTGATGGAAATTTCTGAAAAAGTACCTTATTTTGATCGACTCCCATGCATTTTCGCTCAGCGACGAAAAGTGGATTGATAACGCCGATATCGCCTCTGGAAAGTATTGATAATTTATTTTGATAGTTTCGATTTACGTTGAAACTTCTTGGAAACCAAAAAAGGAAAACTACAGATCCATTTCTTTAGTGAAAAATTGTGATAGAGATCAGTTTAGGGATCAGTTTATAATAAAAATTGATAATTAGAATCGCGAAAAACTTAATTTTAATTTCGTATCCGGAAATTTTTTTAATATCATGCCTTGTTGATGGAAAGGAATGTTGTATACTTTATATGAAAAAAAAAGGTTTGAATTGTTCTATTTCAGTCCTCATCTAGCACTGCTGGCATACCAATTTTGCGTTTCTGTCTAGAAAATTTGCATTTTTTTGCTTTTTTACCTCCGAAGTCACTATATAATTAGGAAGACTAACCTCCTGTGACATTGTCGGCCGCAGGATTGTTGATAGGAACATTCGCCACACTGTTCTTCGCTGATTGTAGTGTCTCTCAGGTAGTTGTAGAAGTTATTAAAGGCCTAAAGTCATATATTTTCAAAGCGATAAATCAAGGGTTTCTCCCTAGAAAATTTTTTTAGTTGTGCAAGAATACTTTTGACCCATCAACTTTTTTAGTTCTATAATCTTGACATCCTCTCCTTGAAACATTAAATTTTTTTAGAGGCCCTGGGTTATTTTTCATCGATTCCACTTTTTTTTCTGGATTAACATCAAATAAATTTTCAACGATTCATTCTTTTAAAAAAAAACCAGCTATATTCCTATAAAAGCTGCTTTTTCCTCACGTATCGATCCAAATCACGGATTTGCAACAAAATCCGTCTAATACCAATTTTTTTCACTCTGCTTTTTATCGCTCCTCGGCCATCTTTTTTTGTTCTTAGCGCAAAAAATAGGCCGATTTTGTGTTCAGATTGTGTTTCGGTGAATATTTCCCGCCTCATTTGATGGCTATCTGACCTGGTTCAACCACAAACTTTTTTCCCCAGCGAAAAGTCCGAGGGATTAAAGGGATTGAGTGAATTTTTTACGAAATCTTATTTTTTTTCCTCTTTCTCTTCAATAATTTTCAAGGATTATAACAAAAAATATAACAAAAATAAGTATTATGGAGATAAAAACGCAAAAAAGCACAATTAGAAAAAAAGCAAAAATGATTCGCAGTCAGCAGGATTCGAACCTACGCGGGCAGAGCCCAATTGATTTCGAGTCAATCTCCTTAACCACTCGGACATGACTGCTTGTGAGGTGCGGCGGCCACATTCGCTACTTGTCACCTCCTCACCTTTACGTGTGCATCAAATAGGTCAAGGAAAAGTGAGACTTTTCAAGTTTTCATGGAAGATGTGCATTATTTACATTAGAATTTTGTCTAAAGGCCTGATTTTTTTGCAAAAAAATAGATAAGTTTTTCGAAAAATTATTCTCATTTTTGCCTGATTTTTGTATTTTTTTAAAAAAATATTTCGGTGAAATAAAAATGAATTATCAACTTACAACACCCCAACGATCTTTTAGAAGACGGAAAAATACATGATTGCGGCATCCTTTACGTCCGGGAAGTAGTTGTTCGAAGTAGTTTCGCTCCCATCTTGATTAAATTTGAGTAGAAATGTTCTTAGCAGCTAATAAATTAGTTTTAAAGAAATTTAGAAAATAGGAAAACTCCTTAAGGTCAGTAGAAAGAAAGGGAAAAGTCTCAAATAACAGGGAAATCGAATCAAATAAAATTTAAAGAGTGACAAAATTTTTGAACTTCACAAAATAATTTTTCACTAATAATAATATTGTTTCTTGTCTTTCGAAAGGCTTCAAAATTTTCAAAAATTTTGGAAGTTTTTCATTTGATCAAATTTGAGAAAGAAAACCTTGTATTTTTGCCCTTGAGCCAAACGCACGGTCCCCATTCGGTCCATGAAGCACAGTTGGCGGCTTGGATTGGATTGCCAAACATAGCACTGATTTGTGATTCTGGAAAATGATAAGAACGGCTGTGAGTAGAATTACCAGTGATTTGATTGTTTTTTTTTTGCATCTAAAAAGCGAGTCGAGACTCTACGGCAAGACTTTGACCCATTGACTTCATGCGACCAAAACATCGTGGAAAGTTAATTTCATGATGAAGTTCTTAAACAATCTCTTACCTGCTAAGACGATGACTGAAAATAGTAGAATCAGTGTACGCATTGTGGACCTTCTGGAAAAAAATAGATTTTCTGATTCAAAGGCAATATCAAATAGCATCCGACCAGTCTCATTTTGTTTTCTACTTCTAAGAGTTGATAATTAAATTCAATTTTATTATAACTTTTTTTCTGCTGTAATTTGAAAAGAGAGCTTGTTGGAAATTTTTTTCTTTATAAAGTTTTACAATTGAGTTTTTTTGAAAAAAATGAGCTTCTTGTGTCCAAAAAAACTTTGGTTATCGAATTTTTTTCAAAAGTTTTTTTTCCTAGAAAAGGTGCAAAAAAATTTTTGTGTTCAAAAACTTATGGTACACTTATGAACTGGGTCGGCAACTTTTAACGCGTCTCATGAAATATTTTTTTGATACCAATTGATGTCAAAAAAACTTTTTGATATCATGCATTGAAGGTTTTTCAACGATTCTACAAAGACTTTGTTCATAAAAAAACTTCGGATTTTTTTTAAAAATCTTTTAAAATAATGAAGCAACCTAACTCAAAGAAGGGTCCTCTCAAGTCAAGCTTTTTCGGACTAGAAGATCAAGTTGAAATTCGCTCGAAAAGCGCCAAAATAAGCCAATAGGATTCATCAATGCTTTGAAAAATATCGAAGACCCGTCCCATTTTTTCAAAATTGATTTTTTAACATCAACTAGCTTACTTCTTGTTACTGAACGAATAAGCTTTCCATCCTTAAAACTAGACCGTATTTTTCCTTTAGGTTGAATCTTAGCATGTGTGTCATAAATACTAGTTTGCACAACTCCAGAAAGTTTCAGAAAGATTGAGCTCCATACAAGCAAGATGTATTGAAAATAGTGTTTTTTCGTGTATTTCATGACGCAACGGTAGGTACGTTTCAAGTCACAGTGAAATGGGATATAACATTTAAAATTTGTTTAACTTCCCTCGGTTTCGTGCATAATGAATATTTGAAAGTTTCACAACTTCCATAAGGTTTCAAAATTTAGCTTCTCTCCCAATTTGGGTTCAAACAAAAAATAGTGTACAAGGGTATAAAATTAATAGTTGTATGAGCGTGATTTTCTACTAAAATCTATCATTTTTGTGACAGTTTAGCGGTAAATTGACCAATGAAAAGCAGAAAAAAGGGAAATCAAACAATAGGGAAGGGGAGAAGCTTGGAAAAGGGAATGAGGATGTCTCCTGTCGCCCCGATGGGAAGCCGATACCCATCAGGAACAGGTGAATCTTCCCATCGATATATATCCGCGCAAGGCTTTATAAGTACGGCGGCGGCGGGCCGATTCTCCCAAACGAGAAACATTTTCCCCAAAAAGGTTCCGCGCCGTTGGAGCCGTGTATAGTATAGTATACAATCTTCGAAGTCGGCAGATTCGAAACCGGACTCGGTCGGTTGCAAATCAGATCCGGTGCGAAGAGACTCTCAGCTGTTAGAAATCCTTTTCTGGGTGGTTCGAACTTTTTATAAATTTTAAACGAATCTAAAAATTTTTTTGAACAGTATGAATAGTAGTATACATTTCTTTTTCTAAATATTTTTTAATCATCAAAAAACCTTTTTTTCTGGAAAGTGAAGAAGTTATTCTTTTTCATGTGCATTTCAATTCACAAGATTATTAGGCCAATTTTATTGATTCGAAAAATACCAGCGTTTCACAATAGCACATCTTGATTTCAGAGATACCAGTAATACTAACCACCATAAAATTAGCGCTAAAAGTCGAAATTTCACGGTTCTCGATAACAATGAGAACAGAATAATAGACTGGCTGTTACAGCATCAAATATTTTCAACTTATCCCTTAAAGTAACAAATTATAATCACAATAGTCGAGACAAAGCATCAAAAGAAATACAGGAATGGTGATAACAAGGACAAGAATTTCAAAAAGTGGGTTCAAAGGATTATTTTTCACATGAGGTTGTGAACATTTTAGTACAATAGGAATTATGGTAGCGATAAAATTATAGGGGAATCCCGTAGAGAGAAGCTTTCATGACTTTGGTGTGGAGAAGAACAAAGTTGACGGCGTTGAAGAAGGTGACGTAGGACTGAGGGTCGTTTTCCTTCGGCAGGACGGCTCCGAACAAAGTCTGAGCCCAGATTCTCGCCCGCGCGACGTCTTCCGCGGCAAGGACGGGCTGAAAACGGGCAATTCGGCTTTTGGAGAAAGTAATGGGGTAAAATTTGCCTTAAAAATCTAGATAGTTGTTTTTAAAAAAACTGGTCATTGAACTGAATAGCTGTAGAAAAAGTTACAGATACTAAAAAAAAACTCACTTGAGGCGCCTTAAAAAGTTTTTCTTCTTTGACGTCTTTTCTGACAAGCGGCGCCTGAAATCAGGTAGTTCGGAATTCAAAATGAATTGATTAAATATTGTTAGCCCAAAAGTTCCAGCTGGAGTGTTTGAAAGAACATGAACATATTTTAAAGACCTTGAAAAAATTGGGACTATTTCAGACCTTATTGAGGAGCAAATTTCTAGTATTTTGTGAAAATCAAAGCGAAGAAACATTTTCAAAAAAAAATTTAAAAATTTTGGAAGAAACTACAAAACTCATATAGTGAAAATTTATTTTAATCTCCTTTTTTAATTAAGAAGTTGAAAAAAAAAATACAATTTAAGAAACTCACTCGAGGCACTTTGAAAACTTCTTCCTCTTCTTCAATTCCTTCGACGTCTATCAGGACGTCTTCTTCATCAAGTGTCTGAAAAGTGATAAAATAAAGCTAGCTGAATAGTGTCTTCTGAGAACTTTGAAAAAAATCATTCTGTTATGTTTTATTTTTTATTGAATGAAAAAAGTCAATTTGCAAAGCTTGTAAGTCTTTTCAATAAAGAAATGATTGGTGATCTAAAAAAAATTGGTTTTTTGAATTCATTTCTCGCGAAAATTTCTGTATACATCACGTTTTTGTAGCAGGTTATAGCAGGTTTTGTACGATTCCGTTTTAGCGTGAAAAACTTTTTTTGCTGTCATTTTTTTTTTTGAAATATTTTAAAATTTCAGTAGGCTAATGTTGGTTTCAATTTGAGGCTACTTTTTGCTATTTTTTCCTTGTTAATTGGATTTTTTTCGCAAAGCTTTTGATTCCTATTCAGATCGTCTAGAGCAATTTCAACAAACCCCACTGTACATTAGACGAGTTATTTCTGATCTCCTCACTCTCCAAAAAAATTGTTTCTGGTCATGATCACTTTCCTCAATTCGAAAAATTTTGCCCTCAGATCCAATTTAAGGCGAAATCCCACTTCGGCTACGTTCTCAAGGTCAGTTTTCTAACAACTTTTTCAAAACGATTCCTATTTGGAATAAACTTACATCCAAATATCAGTTCACACTTCCACCTAATTCTTTGAAAAAAATTATTGGTCGTTTTACCTCGCAACGAATTTTTTTTACCTCTATTCCACCAAGACTTTACTGATCTCAATTTTTTGTTTTTTACTTCAACTTTTTTTCTTTCCTCATTTAAATTGTAGATCGAAGTGAACTCGTTGGGGTTCACACTGATCTGTGAATAAATTATTATTATTAAAGCTTTAGGTGATTCATCAAACTATTAGTTTACTTTTAAGGCATTGTCTTTTTTCTGTTCTTTGCCAAATAATTTGAAAAGTGAGAAGATCCTCTTTCGGTATCATGACGAGCTGAAAGGTGCCAAAGGTATCGAAATGGTGCGAAGCTGGGAATGTCACTGACTTTGCCTGTGGGGCGCGAAACTCAAATAGGTATGGTCACTTCAAAAATTTTGTGAATATAGATGAAAATTATAATATCAGTGAGGAAAAAAATTGGTCTCAGATTCCTGAAGTCATCATTTTAAGTCGGTCGAAATAGGCTTTTTGAAAAGTTGATGGAAAAGCTTTTCTTTTACTGGTTTTGGATTGGCGCAGAATCGAAAAAAGTAGATTGACAAGGAGAACTTATTGAAACTTGAGAAAATACTCACTTGAGACGCATAAACAACTTCTTTTAAAAGTTTCGTCGAACTTTCTTCTCTTCGAACCGAAACTCCCGGCTGCTTTTCACGAATTTCTTCTGTTTTCTTTTCAACCGGCCCTTTTGGTTGATCATCAGTCGTTGGGACTCGCTTGGCTTGGTTCTCTTTGTTCTGAAAAGTGAGAAACCAGGTTGACAATAAAACACAGAATTTACCATTTCAATGTCATCGGAAGTCAAGAAGAGCTTTCTTTTGATGGTGTTTTCGCTGCGAGTGGCATCGGAGATCGTGGAGGGTTTCTAAATGAGCAAAGTGAGTACACTGGTGAATGAAGAAGAAACGAACTTGGGCAGAAGCAGAGTTTGTCATGGTAGCAGTAGGAGGATGAAGGAACGACAGTTTACTGCGTAAGAAAGCGGCTAAAATGGACTTCAAAGTGAGTTTAGGCCATGCCTCTTCGGATTTCGCACCCCTCAGGCAAAGTTACTGACATTCCCAATCTCACACCATTTCGATACCTTTGGCACTTTTCAGCTTGTCATGAGACCGAAACAGAATCTTCTCACTTTTCGAATTATTTGGCAAAGAACAGAAAAAAGACAATGCCTCAAGCTTCGACCAATGACCTGATGGGAGCCCTAAGATCCTGTTTTTAAACAGGCATAGGAAAAAAAGATCCTTTTTAATTCTAGAAAAGAGAACCTACTTCTTCTTCCTCTTGGCTATCAAAAATTCGTATTAGTTCAATTCTCCAAATCCTTGTTTTAATGTCAAAAAAAGAGTATGAACTTACATTGGAAAAAAAAATTTTGAGGCAAAAAGATATTTTCAGTCTTTTATTGAAATCATATATAAGAATTATACAAGGATTTTACGATTTTGCTAAAGGATTATGAAAGGAAAAGTCACTGGGACGCAAAAATTATAATTTATTTTAGACTTTTTATTTTCTGGATAGACCTCACTCTCTAGAATTCAGCCTCAGACACCGAAATTCCTAGTTTCGTACCATTTCAAGACATTTTTCGCCTTTGAGCTTCCGTAATGAGTAAAATCTTACATTTTTAAGCCTCATGACAGTGAAAAGCAAAAAAATATGCCTCAGGTTGGAAATGAGTCAGCAAAAAGCTTTTTATAAATGAAACGTAATGCACATGAAAAACGTAGGAAATTAAATGCGAGAAAAAAACCAAGTTTGGTTTTGACCGCCAACAAGAGGTATTTTTTGACCGCCGCTACTTTTTGACCAGACTTGAAATTGCTCGCATCTCATGCTGGTCGGGTGTCTCAACGGTTTAACCGTGTTTCTTAGGCTATTTGAGTCTCAGTTGTGCAAAAATGGAAAAAACAACAGCTGCAAGAAAAAAAGTGATCCAGCTGTGTATATTTTGAGAATCGGAGACTCAACGGTACTTGAACGGCGCCTCAGATGTAGTAAATAAATGAAATAGTTTTACCAGCTTACACGGGTTTAATTCGGGTTCACCCGCTGAGAGCCTGTTTCAGCTTTGTTGTATGGTTAATACTCAGCATGAAAGCGCTTTTATAAGAATTCAAGGATAAGTTTTTCTTTAAAAAAATTCTCAAGATGGGCTATGAAGTTTTGCAGTTTGATCATCCGTAGGGGTCTTCAAGAAAAATTCCTTTTTTCTAAAAGTCTTTTTTTAGCCTTGTCGGATAAAACTAGGACATTTTTTTTAGAGGTTACAAGTTCGACTTCTGCGGACTTTATCTTAGAAAATGCTCAAAATCAATTTTTTTTTTTCTGATATTTGTGTAAAAGATTGATATTTACGACATGTTTTCTCTGGTTTTACAGAGTTGAAAGAGTAAAAAAACCACGACGATTTTTTTTGAAGAGATTTCAATTTTCTAGCAGTCAACAGCTTGCTCTGGTACTTTTAAATGTCCTTCGCGAAAGTCGTTTTCGATCGGTTGCATTTTCAAGACAACGGAAGTATTCAACGTACGACCGAGGTATTTCAGGTTTGAGAGAATTTTCCGTTCTTTGAAAAAAAAAACGAGTGGAAATTTGCTCTAACTTTAGTGAAAATACTATATTGAACTTCAAATATTATGGCTTTTTCTGAAGACCGTTCTGATTAATCTTTGAAGCGTTGTTCATCATTTTTTCCTGTTTTATGTTTAAAAACAATGTTTTCATATCAAATTTATTAATCCCAAAAATACCAGTAATACAATCAACAATCACCATGAATTCACCTAACCGTCGCAAATGATCACTAGTTTCCAATATACCGAATAAAAATTAAACCAATGGATAAAACATTGACAATTTCACAAGTCGAAATATTGAGGTGAATATTAGGGAAAATAGTCAAATAAATCAACGAAAAGAATGTTGGGATAGTGGTAATGAAGACAGGAGATTCAAAAAAATTTGGATCAAAAAAAAGGTGGCACTCAAGGATTGTAATGAATCGAAGTATCGAAATATATAGAATAAAATAATGAACTTCTTAAAAGTAATCAAATTATTATGGGAGGGATGAATATTATAAAGAACTTAGTGGAATCCCGTAGAGAGAAGCTTTCATGACCTTGGTGTGGAGAAGAACAAAGTTGACGGCGTTGAAGAAGGTGACGTAGGACTGAGGGTCGTTTTCCTTCGGCAGGACGGCTCCGAACAAAGTTTGAGCCCAGATTCTCGCCTGCTCGACGTCTTCCGCGGCAAGGACGGGCTGAAATCAGGCAATTCAGCTTTTGGAAGAAGTTAATGTAGTAAAGTTTGCTTTAGAAATCAAACTAGATGTTATTAAAAAAGAAACTCACTTGAGGCGCTTGATTAACTTCTTCTTCTTCTACTCCTTCGACATCTACCACGACGTCTTCCTCGTCAGCCGACGTCTGAAATTAGGTAATTCGGCCTTCAGAAGAACCTGATGAAATATAGTCTGCCCTAGCTACTTTCAAAAATAATTTATATGAACTTTAGAGCCTTTTATGAAAATTATGAAGAAAGAAACTCACTTGAGGGGCGATAACGACTTCTTCTTCAGGAACTTCAATGGGACGTTCTTCTTCACCAGACGCCCTTTCCAACTGTTGAACTCGACTTTCTTCCACAACAGGTACTTCTGGTTCAGCTTCAGGCGTCGGAACTCGCTTGGCTTGATTTTCTTTGTTCTGAAAAATGAGCAGGTTTATTATGTCCCAAAATAGTTATTTTTACCTTTTCGACCTCTTCGGGCGTCACGAAGAGCTTCCTTTTAACGGCCTTGTGGCTTCGAGCCGTGATATTGAAAACCGTCGTTGGTTTCTAGAAAAGCAAAATAAGTACAAAGTTGAAAATGTGAGAAACAAACCTGGGCAGAAGCAGAGTTGGTCATGGTAACAGTAGGAGTATAAAGTAACGACAGTCTACTGCGTAAGGAAGCGAGCAGAATGAGCTCCAAAGTAAGGTCAAGCCACGCCTCTTCGGCCACGCCCCTTCGAACTTCGCGCCCCACAGGCAAAGTCAGTGACATTCCCAGCTTCGCACCATTTCGATACCTTTGGCACCTTTCAGCTCGTCATGATACCGAAAGAGAATCTTCTCACTTTTTAAATTATTTAGCAAAGAACAGAAAAAAGACAATGCCTCAAGCTTGGACCGATGACCTGATGGGAACCCTGAGATTCTGACCTCAAACGGCATAGGAAAAAAAAAAAACGAAAAAGTGATGCTTTTTGTTTTTCAAATCTTATACCAAAACCCCAAAAGAAAAGAGAGAGGTTGCCTCACACTTGAACCAGTGGTCTGCGGAAGACGAAAAAAAGACATAACCGCGGCAGTAAGTCAAGTAATATTGTGGTTTCCATGTAAGCTATGGAAGAAAAAAGGAAGAAAACGAAAAAGTGATTCTTCTCAAACTTTATAATAGCAAAAATCTACAACGAAGAAAGAAAAGGCAAAAAGACAGTGCCTCATGCTGGAATCGAACCAGCGACCTTCTGTTTACTAGACAGACGCTCTGCCACTGAGCCAATGAGGCGGACGGCTGCGACAATGAAGATATGCCTGTAGTCCCTTGCTTCCTTTTGTGCTATGAGTGATGTTGGGATGAGTGCTATGAGTGATTTTAAAATGATTAAATTTATATTTTCAACAATAACAACGTAACTCGATTCAAAATCAACAACAAATATCGAATCCTTGAGAAAATGCTTCGCAATCGATCCGAAAAACAGAATAGTGGTGGTTTAAGGACGGTTCCAAGTGCAGTTGCCAGCCGTCTGGAATTTTTTGATATTTTTCAATATTAGATGCGGAATTTTCGGAAATTGTACAGAGGATCATAGAAAATCACAAACTTGGTGATAAAACGCCGTTTTTCGAAGGATGATTGAAGAAGACGCGAGCGCTTCGGAAGTGTACAAGTGCCTGCAAGTTTAATTTTTTTCGATTAAAATATTTTTCTTTGCTTAACTTCCAATTTCGAGTTTTTTTGGAGCAAAGAAATATCCGAAAAATAAGTACCATAGCTAATCAAGAGTTTTTTTCCTTTTTTTATTTTAGGTATTAAAAAAATTTTTGCGCTTTTTGATTAGTATTTCGTAGAGGCTGAACTGTATCAAATTTTTTTCTGCGATTTTAAATCTAATTTTTTTTAAAAATTTCTATCATTCAGATCAAACCTACCATCGCACACATGCCGCAAGGTTCATTTCGGAGAAAAACGTCGCATCCAGTGCCCAAATATTCGTCTTCCGACTGACTTTCTGCCACTTTTCGGACCATTTCCATCACCGAATGACGGAGAGGCTTGTTTCTGGATGACGATTTTGCAATTATCTCGCTTTCCTAAGAAAAATTGAGGTTTTTTTCCGATCGGTTGCCATAGGATTACCCTGACGACAATGCAGCCGATCTGTTCGGCGAGTTCGCTCCAGGAGAATATTTGCGATTTTATAGCTTCGTTTTCGAAAAGCTTACCACTTAGGAGAGCTTCCAGAGCCTTAAAAATCTGTTTTCCTTGATGAAATTACGCTTTTAGATGAGACTAGAATTTTCAAACTTTCAAAGAAAAGAGGATAAGTTACGGCCGTTAAAAAGTTCAAATAGAACCTAGATGAAAGCATTATTGTATGAGAAGTAGAACTTCTCTTTAAAAGAAATTATAAAACCGAGGAGTCATATTTTGAAATTTTGAAATAAAATTTTTTTTTCCTCGACTGTTCTTGTAATTTTTTTCAAGGTTTCACGGAAGAATGTTAAAACTTCAGAAACTTTGATCTAAACGTAGATTTTTGCAACAAGGAAGTGATTAAAAATTTCGAAAATTGGATCATTTTTCCAGCCAGTGTAATTCTGATAAGTTTTAATCATTACATGATCAGGATGGAAAGCAGTCGGCCAGACGAGTTTCGCGTTTTCGAATTGAATCCGAGTTCTCGGCTTCAGGCTGGGTACTTGGACTAACTGCAAAAAAATTTCAATGAGATGTACTGTAGTTCTTTTTGAACTCAAAATCTTCAAGTTGATTCCAGAAAAGTGGAAAATTTCGGTAGTAGGTATTTTTTGTGCTGAGTTTTCAATGGGAAAGGTTATGTAAAGCTTTTTTTTCTTGATTTTCTGATTTTTGAAAAAGCTAGTTTTTTGAATATCATTTGATTTTATTTCTATGAGTTTATTCGATGCTACTATGAATACCCATTAAAGGTTCCTGAACAGATTATCTAAAAATAACGATTTCCAGATTTTTTTTTTCTTAAAAAATGAATTTACTTTTTGACGTTTGAAGATTAAGTTATGTAAAAAAATTGTCGAGTCTATTTTTTTCCAGCTCCAACCCACCTCTACATCAAACTGCTGATTATGGTTGAATTCCAGCTTCTTCAAAAGCTTTTCCTTGACTTCATCCTCATCTCTGCACAACAAAACCCGGCCATCCTTGCCTACACGCTTCAAATGGCCCAAATGCTCAGGCAACTCGGGCAAATCCTTCAGAATCACGCCGATTAGCCGCTTTTCCCGCAAAGCCAATGCGCAAAATGATGTTGATGCGACGGCGACGTCGGTGTACTTTGGGTCCAATATTGGTGTTATTCTGGAAAATGTAATTCTTGAAAGAAAACTGACGTTTTAAAAATCCTTTGGAATAATGGCTTTATAAAAATCCTTCTTCAAATTCAGAAAGTGGTTTAACAGATTGTGTGCACTTTCTCATAAAATAACTTTCTAAAACTGGAAAAATTGATGTGGTTTTTTTAATTTTTTTGAAGTTTGATTTTAGCTTTCCCTGAAGATTTTTTTCAAGAAATCGAGTCAAAAGACCTTTTTTTGATTTGAAAAAAATATCAATCACTTCCAGATTTTTCAGTGAAATTTTTTTCAACACTATTCGACACGAATTCAAATTATGAACCTTATTTGCACGTCGATCTTCTTCATTTTGACTGGAGGTTCGTCGTTTTCACCTTCTTGTGACATCGTAAAATACTGAAAATTGAACTTCAAAAGTGACTTTAATCTTCGAAAGCAATGAAAGTAAAGTCATGAGAAAATTTACCGCTAATTCGTTTCCAATCTACCAAAACGCTAAGCTTGTAAATTTTCAAAGTTTACTCAAACTTTTATTTCTCTCCAAACGCCCCACTATCAGAAAACAACGAAAAATTAAGAAAATTTTCTTTTCCAACGCGTAAATCGTCCCGAAGAGCCGTACCGCCTCAAAATCTGTGCGGCTTCTGCAACGGAAGCCACGCCTCCTTGGCGATCGTCCAACTCTCTGTTGCCTGCGTATCTTCTTTTCAGCACGCGTCATGAGTCGGCTTTCCGTACGCAGCCAAATTGCCTCCCCTCGCAACCCTTGCCAAGTTCTTTTTTTTGACGTCATCGCGCACTAATTTAGGTGTAATAAATGTCTTTTGAGCTCTTTTTATTTATTTTTTAATTTTTCTCGTTTTTTTCTATCGATTTTTCACTTGTTCGACCGGTTTATAAGGTCACATGCTTTGTTGTCGTTTCGCAATAAAGTTTCGAAACACTCGTGCTTTGGCGCCAGTTTTCTGGTTTTGTTTTTTGAACTCGTGACTAAAACTTTCTGTCTGTTGCATGTTATTTTGAGCGATTAAACGTCCTCTCATGCCGTTTGTGGAAGTTTTGGGTTTTTTTTCGTCTTCTGTGGGCTTTTCGACGAAATCGGAATTGATTTTCGATCATCGCCCTTCTGGCCAGTTTGCACTTTGCGATTTTTCTTCATTCGCATTCCATCAGCACCTTTGTAGTCCAACTGAACTATGATATTTATTATTAGTATCTAAATGTATTATTTTAGAAATAAATAATATTCTAATTAGTAAGGAAATAATGAAAACAAAAAAACACTTTTTAGCAACCAAATTTTTTTTCACTCTTTCAGCTTATAGTGTAGTGTTTGTTAATTTTATTTCCATTATTATAAAAGATGTTAATACTCATGTTTAAAGAAACTTGTCATTTTATTCGAAAAGAACTTATTACTTATACAGATAGCTCTTTCCAGTGTTCGGTTTTTTCTTTATTCGGTTAAAGTTAAGAAGTTCTTTCGAAGATGAAAAATGGAGGATTTTGAAATTGTTTTCTTCTCTCTTCGTGCGAAGCTTTTTTGCTATGTGCATGACGTTATTTTTTTTGTCTCCAGGCAGTTTGCCAAATTTTTTCGCAATACGATGACTATGCTATGCTTTGTCCTTTCGAAAAATAAGTTTTCGCGATGAAACGAATTTCTGCTAGGCATGAATTTTTTGATGATTCCGTATATAACGATAACATCTCTATAATTGTTTTGAAATTGACCTTTAAGCTTTTGATTTCTTAGCGAGAATGTGTTATTTTATTTGTTTCTTGTAGTCACTATCTCTCTGCCTTCAGAAAAAAAAAAATAGAAAACCTTGAAAGTAAATTTTCTTTGGCTCGAATTTTTAGTCACGTTCACCTATGAACAAGTTGAAGTTTTTATTTTTTATCTTCGTTCTTGCAATTTTTTCGTTTTCGAAGATTCGCGTTCATCTCAAAGTTGATCATATCATTTTCGCTTTTGCAGGTTTTGCACACTGTCCTTCAGTTTGTGTTGTCTTTGACCCGTCAACATCAGGGAGTTCGATGACCCATCGACACATGGGCGATCCGAACATGAGCAAAACGATGAAACGCCTCGATTCGCCGGCGAAGAGCAGCGACAAGTCGCTCACGCCGCCGAGCTTGAACCACGCCGCTGGCGATGCGTTTAGGTTCGAGTTTTTGTTCATTTTTCAATTCTGATTTTCATAAAAAGGAGGTTTTATTTCCAAAGGATTTTTGGTAGGTAGGGAAACGATTTTCTTGTGAAACCCACGCCAGTTTTTAAATGCGTAACATTCTTCAAAAGTAATGAAACTAATGAGACAATTTCTGTTTTTAAGCACGGATAGCGCTTCTAAAAATCAATTGATTCAGTTTAGTTGGATTTTTTTATTTAGGATAATTCTTTCTTTTCATTTTAAATAGGTCCTTTTTTTCGTTTTATTACAATGGTTATAATTCTCCCTCAGCTCAAGTAAATAAGAATAATCGAAAAAACTATCAACAGTACAAAGTTTATCATTTTAATTCTTGCCTTCTATATATTTACAAAATAAATTTCGTCTTGTCATGAAAATTTCGAAAACTAGCTATTCCATTATTTCACCAAGCTGCTCATTGATTAGGATTTCTTCTAATAACCTACATTTTCAGGTCGAACACATCCAGTCCCCTGTTGGACACTGAGCCATTTCCGATGGACGATCCGAAGAAATGCCCGTATTGTCACAAAAACTTCAGAAAGGTTCAGCTTTTTTTATTGCTTTGTACTTTTAAATTAAATTTTTGTTTTATATTGAAAAATTTTCAGCCACGAGTGCTCGATTGCCTGCACTCGATGTGCGAAGATTGCATCATCGCGCAACTTGATGGTCGCCGTGAGCAGAAAAATGATCGCCTCCGCGATCCGACCGATTGCGAGCTTGAAGCTCCTAAAGGTGATCTTCATGTTTTATTTTATGCTCACTTTTTTTAACCTTATAAACTCGAAAAGTGAATAAAATTGGTTTCCAGTGACTGAACGTCCCACGCCGCCAGGCGTCATCCGGTGCCCGATTTGCGCCCAAGAATCTCACGTCGGAAACGACGTCCGCTACGTCCATTCAATGCTTCTCGATTACGTACGATGCGAATCGGAAAGTCAGGGTCCAACGGAATCGTTTTGCAGGTGCGACTCGCCGAATGCGACGAAATCGTCCAGGGAGACCGACGTTGCCGGGCTTGCAAGAGCGAGCAGCCGGCCGTCGCCTTCTGCAAGCAGTGCCAGTCGGATCTCTGCTCCAGCTGTCTCTCTGCCCACAGTGTCATGCGCATGTTCGACAGTCATGTCGTCCGTTTTTCTTTCCTTTTTTTTTTGGCACAGATGTGCCCTTTCCCGAAAAAAGAAGTCTGCGGTCTGTACTGACTCTTTTCTGCAAAAAAAATGCGCCCTTCCTTCGAAAAAAAAACCTGCGGTCTTCCTATACTTTTTTTTTGCAAAGTGTTCTTTTCCAAAAAAAAAGTCTGCAAATGCTACATCTTTTTTTTCGGCACAGATGTGCCCTTTTCCTTAGAAAAAAATCTGCGAGCTTTCTGGCTTTTTTTTTTCCCCGGAAAAAGTGCGATCTCAACACTACTTTTTTCTGACCTTTTGTGAAGGGGTTTTTTGGATTTCATCGAAATTTTTAAAAAATTTGTAAGCAAAATAAAAAAAAAACGTATTCCTTGCAATAATTGACACTAGCTTTAGAAAAAATCTGATTATTTTATTAAGTGAAATAGAAAGATTAATAGTTAAAAATGTAGACAGAAGTTTACGAAATTTTTTTTTCAGGAGATTTGATTTTTCAAATCTCAGAAAAAAGAAAGAAAGGAGAAGATGGACAAATGAATCATTACCTTGAAACTGTTTTTCCGAAATTCAAGCGAGTCGTTAAAATAATTTATTTCCTCCAGGTAACCACTTATGAAGAGCTGGAAAAGAACGGCTTCCAACACGATGTCCGCCCGGTTCTCTGTCCGATCCACTCGCAAACTTTCAAGATGCTCTGCGCCACCTGCGAAACGATGGCCTGCAAACAGTGCTTGGAAATGGAGCATATCAATCATAAGGTACTTGAATATTCGAATTCGAAGTTTGAAAGAAGTAAATTTGAGGTCATCGAAGTCACTGAGCCGGTGATCCTCGCCATCCAGAATGAGATCCGTGGACTGGCCGATCGTGTTGATCAGAAGGTTTTTTTTTGCTTTTTATTGGGATTAATTTTATTCATAATTTCGTTCAAAAGTTTCGATGTTTTTCGTTCTCTTTTCATCCTTTTTTTGTAATTTTTCAGTCGTAATTGGTCTGAAGCTTTATTTTTATATAGTACTACTTTCAATTAAGTTCTGAAGATTTTACTTTCTGTGACGGCAGGAAAAATTAAATCCAAAAATTATTCATGGAAACGGTGTAAAAAAATTCAATTTTTTTCAAACTTTACTTTTTGAAGTTTCTCAATTTTTTTCAGATAATTTTATCGATTTTCATAAACATTAATAAAAAAACCAATACGAAGGCTGAAAAATCAGCTTTTTTGAGTTTAGATAGTTTTTGACTTCAAAAAAAGTGGAAAAATTTGTCAGAGCATCGAAACCTTATAAATAAAAACAATTTTTTTCTTTGAATCAATTGAAATATTTCAGTGGCGAAACTCGTTGAGCGAGTGGAGCGTGATCCCTGACCGATCGGCGGCCCTTCACGAACAGTACGAAATAGTCAAGTTGCGCTTGGACTCGACCTTTGACGAGCTCGCAAAGGCCTTGGAAGACGTCAAGACGAGGAAGTTCGCCGAGTTGGAAGAGGCCCGACTCCGCCAGGAGCAGAATATCGAGGAACTCTACCGCAAGATGAACCTCAATGAGGCTCGCGTCGGGGATGCCATCACGTATGTTTTTTGTTGATTTTTTTGAGGAATTTATGGATGATTATTTGGAGTGGATAAGGAAAAAAAAAAATTAATTTCCTTCTGAGAAGACTACCTTAGAAAATATTTTATCAGGGTCAAAAAAAAGTTCAGGATGTACAAGCTCAACTTTCATTAAAATTCCTCATTTTTATAAAAAATATATGTAGAAACCCCAAATCCTATTTAACCAACTTATCATAGAACTCTCCCAGTAGTAATATGAAAATATTTTTCAGATTTTCACAACGTCTCCTCGACCATTTCAATGGGATGGAACTCGTCGCCAGCCGACGCAAAGTCATCCAGCAACTCAACAACTTGTCCCACACCATGCCGGCTCTCGGAATTCAGGTTTCCCACCGAAATTATGCTTATTATAATTTTTTTGAAAATTTTTTTCAGTTTGTTCTGGAGTACCAGCCGATCAGCCGAAAGCAGATGGACGCTCATTTGAACAACTTGGCCGGCATTATTCAAGGTATGAAAATTATCTGAGATTGTGAGAAGTTAGGTGAGAAAAATGTTTGAAAATTAGGAATGAATTTTTATTGTATTTATGGGTATACAGTTTGAAGAAGAGACATGTTTATCATTTTTTAGAATAAGTTTTGTTTGCTAAGCCTTGAAACCTTTTTTTAATGCATTGCGGTTGCGCTGCGGTTTGAGACAGAATTTTGAAGTTTAGTGGAACCTAAGATTTGAAATTCTGAAGTGAAATTTCGTTTTTTGGCCTTTCCTGAGCGTTTTGAAGCCGTCACGAGTTGAACCATTCCAAATGCGACCCTTTGAAAATTTCGATTAACTCTGAATTTCGCCTGTTCGATTATAAGTTTTGAGATGTCCCTGTCGCAATCGAATTATCTTTTTAATAGAACAATTTTTTTTCAGCCCGCACAGTTGCTCCGCCAGCCAAGGAAAGCGCTACGAATGGCAGCGAAGTTTCTTCGACGAGAGCCTCTCAGGATGGCGGAAATGGTCCTTTTTCTATCTTCTTCAGTTCAATAATAACGAATTGTTATTGCAGATTGGGGCCGTGGAACGCCTACAATTTCTGGCGGCACTATTGGCGGTGGAATCGCTCTGGGAGCGATCGGAAATGAACGCAAGAAGAATGCCAATTTGAATGGGTTCGTTTGAAGATCTATGTGGGGGAATATGTGAAAAAAAAAAATCGATTTATAGCATAATTTATAGAGAAAAAAACAATATCGCAATAACCATTTTTGATCTTTTCCAGAAATTCTGGGGCTCGTACGGCTTCAGCAGGCGGTGAACCGTTCGGCTGGCCTCCGAGCAGCAATCCCCCGGACCTCCCGCCTCCGTCCCCACCGACCAGCGGACTTCTACCGGCGCCCGGCCCTCCAGGACCCCCGGGAGCGCCGATCCGAGAGATGTCCCTCCCCGACCTCACTGCCTCTAACAACAACATGTCCTTGCCATTGGTAATATCGAAAAAACTTTCATTTTTTTTTAATTCGTGTTCTAGGGTGACGATTAACTCAAACCATTGGACTTTTTATGTTGATTAAGAAGAAAGATGTTTGATACACAATTTTTCCTTTCAGAACCAAGTCTCAGCGGCATCGATCCTGCCGAACTACGCCTGGCCCAACACGACGACCGCCGCCGCGGCCTCCCTGGCCAACGTCGCCGACATCCGTTCGTTGGCCGCCCAGTTCGCCGGCGCCAACTCGCAGAATCTGCCGACGGCGCAGCAGCAACTCGCAGCTGCTCAACAGCTGAAACTCGCCCAGGCGCTTCTCTTCCCCAACTCGGGAAGCAACAATATTTTGGGGGCTAATCAGGCCTTGTTGATGGTGGGTTTGGCGGCAGAATCATGTCTTTTAAAAATAGTACAACGAAATATTTTTGAAGAGAAACAATTTTTTAGAAGCATAAGTTTCAAAAAACTCACACAAGAGGTCATTAATTTTTTTCACGTTAAAAAAATCCTCAAAGAGGCAGTCAGATTGTGTTAGAACCCCACGTTGAAAAAAATACATTTAGCATAAGTATTACTTACTTGTTAAGTAATGGCTATCAGGAATCTTCCCCTAGACCTTCGGAAAAACTAGAATTCATAAAAGTTTCGCGAAATTCCTCCCTAATTTTTCCCTGTCGAGCAAAAATAATTTCCAGCAAGCCCAAGCGCAAGCTCGAGGCCTCCGTGGCGTGGATCCGCTTCTGATGGCTGGCCTGGGCAATCTGAACCTCGGAGCGGCGGCCGCCGTCGCTGCTGCCGCCAACCCCTCCAACAACTCGAACAACGACTCGATTCTCGGCGTCGGCGGAACTCCGATGTCGCAGAGAGTCTCCGACTTGAGAGTTCACAGGTTTTCTCAGAAGCCTGCAAGAGTTACAACGAACAAAATCCCTATTATTCAGTGTGTTCGGAACGAGTCAGCAAGGCAGTTCGATCCGCGAGTTGCACTGTCCCTCGGGCTTCTGTCTCTCCGAAACGGACGATATTCTGATCGCTGACACGAATAATCACAGAGTCGTCGTCTGCGGACCTCCGCATCCCTGGAAGATTGGACGACCGGGAACGGTAACTTTTTAGGATTTTATGAAAAATTTTGAAACGAAGGAATCACACAATGTAAAGTATCTTGGTTAAACTCGTAGAATTATATTTTTTTAAAGCGAAACTTCTCTATGAATATAGTCTGACCAATATTTGGGGTAACTTTCGAGAAAGAAATACTCATATTTTGCCCTCGAATGAAAAATGGCTAGAATTTCACTTTTTACTGAGTGAGACTGAAGCGACAAGTAATAAAAAAAATAAAAACTTTTTTTGAAGATCGCTTGCAACTGAAAAGAGATTAGTTTGAATATCCAATAATTTCTGTTCTTAGTTTTAAGCTTTTCCAAACAAAAAATTATTTCAACTTTTTTCACTGATGGTGAAAAAATTGTCTACTCCTCATCTGATTTTTTTATTGAATCAATGGGATTTTTTTTGTCAATTTACGCTTAGCTATGATTGGAATTTTTTTTCGAACATCAGTGAAAAAATTCTTATGAATGAATTGAAATTATATAGAGCCAAAATAAGTCTGAGAATCTGGAGCAATCTATAACTCAAAATGCAAATTCACTTGCTTTTTCCTCTCAGGACGATGGCCAACTGTGTTTCCCCGGAAGGTGGTCTCGCTGCGCGGCGACTCGCCCCGCTACGTCGTCCTGGACAAGGGCGTCGACGGCAAGACCCGCGCCCAGATTTTCGACGTCCGCGGCGAGTTCCTCAAACGGATCAACATGAGTGAGTTGCCACGAGCGTCGAGCGGCCAACGACGTGCTCTTGTCGCAGCAGGTGTAGTGACGATGTTGCCGCGCGGCGGGATCGAGGTCTCCGCCGCCACCGCCGCCCCCAACGGACAGCTCCTCCTCGTCGACACCAGCGGACTCGTCTACTGCATCGGTCAGTTTCACGGCAAATATAAGTAAATGGAGTTGATGAAGAAGTAATCATTCAGTTCGCATATCAGCAAAGAAACCTTTCGAAAATTTGTGCCTTTTTTGACCCGAAATTTCAAAATCCAAACCCTGAGATAGCTTCCTCGGTTAAGAATCACCATTGAGAGCTGCTCAAAAATAGCAAATATTGAAGAATCTCGTCCAATCTTCATATAAAACTTCAGAGGGTTTTTGAGCAAAATTTTGAAAATTCAAAACTTTTTTCTAAATGCTTCAAAATCTTCATTCTCATTAGAATAATTTCTAGAAGTTGACACTCCTCGTGTAACTTACTGCTTCGACGCCTCGCAGCAGCTCGGCGAAGCCAGCGACGTCGCCATGAACGACAAGTACATCTACATCACCGACTTCAAGCATCACTGCGTTCAAGTCTTCAGCACTGATGGTAATGAAGTAGATTCTTGGTCGAATAAACGATAAAAAGGCTCTTAAAAGTCCTTTAATTGATTATATAAGTTTCTTCAAGTCAGAATCCAGAAAAGAGCTTAGTTTTGAAGGCTGATTAGATTCTCAGCTTCCTTCATTTCTAATCTTTGAAAATTTCCAGGAACGTTTGTGAGAAAAGATGGGCGAGCCCTCGCAGACGCCTTACCCCATCGGAATCGACGTCTCGAAGAGCGGCGAGATTCTCGTCGCCGACACCCACGGCAACCATCTGCACGTCGTCGTCTTCAGTCCCGAAGGCGTCCATCAGCAATCTTTCACCCACAATGAGTTCCGAGTGCGTTATAGGATGATTTCGTGGAATATGCAGTTTTTGAGAGTAGTTTAGAGGATCCTTCGATTAATCTCCAATCTTCATAGTTATCTATTAGGAAAAAGTCAAGAAAACTGACAAAAAGTATATTTCCAAGAAAGCTAGTTTTGTGCGGTTTTATAGTAGGATATTTCAAAAATTAAAATAAATTCCAGTCCGAAAAAACTTGAAAATGTTAAACAGGTTATCGCTTCTGTGTATTTAAAAAAAGAAAAATTTTCTCTTCATCACTAAATTTTATTCATGTAGCATTAAGAAAACATAGTATTCTATAGAGTTGAAAAAAGAAATGAACTATCCCTGTTTCAGCTCTCCCGTTGCGTCGGCCTCCGGATCGCCAAGAGCGGCCACATCGTCACGCTGTGCAAGCATAATCACACTCTTTTCGTCTTCAAACCCTTGTTTTTGCGTTGAAATCTCCAATTTTGATCATTTTTCCATCCGAAAACCTCCATTTTGCGACACTTTATAGCCTCACCAATATCCAATTTTCACAGCTTTGTATTAGACCTTCTTAGCTCATTTTTTTCTTCTTCCTTTTTCCAAGTGTTTTTCACAATTTAATAGAGTTTATTTTTATTATATACTTGTTTATTGTAAATTTACCCCGTGTTTAATTTAATGGATTGATGTGATTGATTGAAAAGTTGTAGATAACGATTTTTTTCCTCACTTTTTCTTTTTGTTGTTAAATTGAAACATAATTGCAAATACTTTAATATTTTCATTTCCTCATCTTTTTTTTGTGTGAATATTATTTCATTTCTTTTTCACATTTTTATGTATGCATTCTCTAGAAATTTAGTTATTTTTTTCCACTTTTACTCATTCTTTTTTCATTTTTCTTTTTTGTTTTTTTCCCATTTCAACCTAAATTTTTACGTCGTCGCCAAACGCCCCCTCTATCATTGCCGGTACAATGTCTTTTATCTTATTCATACTTCTTTTTCTTCCCGTTTTTTTTTGTGCTAGTCGGAATGCCTTGTCACTTGAGTGATCCCTCCGTTTCGTGCCCCCACCTCAATCATATTTCTCTTAATATCCGTTGTCTTTTCTTCTCCATGGTTGTACCTCCGAAAATTTGAGATCATTTATAGGTTTTAGAGCTTTTTGGGCAATTTTGCGGTTTTTTTAATGACTGAAATCGATAATTCCAATACTTTTTTTCATCGAAGAATTGCTCACCAAGATTTTTTTCGATTCCAAAGATTTATTCCCCCCTTTCTCTCACGTATCCACTTCCATTATTTCAAAAATCAGAGCTGAATATCGCAAAAGAGCAAACTTGTTCCCAATTATTTTCCTAATAGCTGATCTCGTTGTTTTTCTTTGTGTTTGTGTGAGTGTGTGTGTGAGTGGATTGATCCCTTCGGTTTTTCTAGATTTAAGCGAAATTTAGTTGATTTTCGGTTGGAAGGAAGGAGCCTTCAATTTTTCGCATTTCCAGCTTTTCCTTCCGATCTTTGCACTGCTGATGATCAATAGGAACCAAATTTGATACAATTTAAAATCTTTCGTTTTTTTTTTCTCCCTCCCTGAAGAACCTCATTTTTCTGTCCCTGATGAATCTTATTTTTACATATTTTTTCTTTCATTTGTTCAGATTTTTATACCACCGTGTCCGAATACGTGTCCCCTGCGCCTGTTCATTGACCTTTTGTTTGTCTATCCCACTTTCTGCATCCAAAACCCACGGGTATTTCCACAAATCACCGATTTCCATTCATATTTTCCATTTGGATGGTTTTGGAGAAGTCTTTTTGAGCTCTAGGTTGGAAAATTGAATTTTTTTTTTCGAGAATATGAAAAATTTCCTGTCTCTAGGGTTTTGAAAGAAGCATAGACGAATTGAATGATATTCTCTAAAGAAAGACCCTTTTGTTTTCTCATTAGAATATGTGAAAGTTATACTTCTTCAAAGCCCTCGGAGTTTTTATGATCAATTTTTCGGGAAATTCATCAGTCTCACAAAATATATTTCTATTCTTCAAAGCCATCTTCTCGGGTGATTAGTTTATTTATCGGCAGCTTTTTCCATTCCAAAAACTGCTTTTAAATAAACCTCCCCTCATTATCAAATCGGTCACTATTATAGCATTCTTCAACTATGTATACTTCTCTTCACAATTTCCTTTTTCATGAATTCTGCTCATTTTTTAGACATTTTTTCCGTTTTTGTGAGTGTGTGTGAGTGATTTTTTTTTCTCTCTTGTTCCCCCCTCTCAAAGAGACGACGTCATAATAATCTTCTTTTTTTCATTTCAAAAAAAAAAAACTGATTAAAAAAAGAAAAACTTGACTTTTTCCCCTTCTTTGTTGCCTTAAGAACATTGAATATAGTTCAATTTCAAGCTCTTGTATCATACTTTTTGATTGTTTTCTTTCCTTTTTTTCAATCATTCAGGTACACTTTTTTTTGAAAAATGATAAAAATGGCTTTTTGCCACCAAAAAAATTTTACGTTTGTTTTGTATTGAGATTTATTTTTCCATTTTCACTCATTTTACTCTCGGTTTTTGTTCACCTTATATTCCAGTGTTATTTTTCACCACAAGAGAAGGCTCAATTCTTTTTCACCTATTGTGTTTGTGTGTACATTATAATATATATTTACTCAAGTTCATTTATTCTTTTTGTTTTTTTTGTGGAAATTTTATGCCTAGCCGTTTTTAGCCTTCATTCATTCTTTTTATGAAGAGTGACAAAAAAATATTTATCGATTCGATTACGTCATTTATTGATTGATTGATTGATTTCTCATGTTAATCATATATATTCTAATCATTTCGGTGGTGTTCTTCTTTTTCTCATTTTCTCAAATCATATATTTTAACCCCAATTAGCTTTGCTTATTATATATATCATCCTGTGAACACCTATCAAGAGGCGATTTGTTCGCAAATAATTTTTTTTGCTGATGAATAAATTTTAGCTTGCAAATGTGATGAATTGAAGGAGAAGCACGTGAAGAAGTCGTTATTGAAAATACTTCTTTTCAATGATCAATATTTCTTATCGATTTGTAAGGTTTTTGAAGGATGGCTGACCCGAGGTTCAGCCAGATCCATGTGGAGATTGAGCCTCCGGCCGAAGAGCACGAGCTCGAGCTCACTTTCGATCCGGAGGATGACGTCACCGAATGGAAGCCGAACGTGGTGGTCCGAGAGCCGGCCACCGCCCACGGCTTCCGAATTCTCGAGCCGAGGAGTTCCAGTCAGTTCCACGTCGGACATCTGGAGAATGGCCCTCAACAGGTGAGAGCCTTCTGGAAATGTGAGGGCTTGGGAAAAAAAATTTATTAAGGTCGGCTTAATAATCATCAATATCGACTTTATGTGATATTTTTGAGAAGTTCAATCAGTAATTGTTTCAAAAATTATCGTCGAAAAAAAGCTTCCGTGTCGTATGATTATTTGCCAGAATTTTCTCGAAAAAAATCACCTTGGAAAAAAAGTTAGCCTGGATACAAATATTGGCTGAAAAAAATTACAAGAAACTTAATTTTGACGCTGCAAAACTCATTCAGATAAATAAACAATTTAAAAAAAGAAATAAAAAAATCAGAAATGGTTGATTTCTCACTGGCTGTTCTGTTTTTGGCTGTTTGACAAAAAAATTCAAAAATCTTTAATAAATATTAAAACACTTCAAAAAAATTAATGAAAAAGGGGTAGAAAAATATCGAATTCGAAAAGAAATACTTTTTTTGTCAAATTCATGGATAATTCTACGAATATGACTCGATGAAGGAATTATTCGATTTTTTTTTTCTCCGAACCAATTTTCAATAATATTCTTCGCTTCTGTTGAAATTAAGAGACAACGCGCAAAAAAATTTAGTTAAAAAAATCGTAAATATATCAGGACTTGAAAAAAAGAGGAAATGAATAAGTTTTTTTAAAAAAATAAAAATTATACTTGTTGTATATAGCCCATTCCGCGCCAGCTTAATTCGATATGATATTATAATAGTCAAATTTTGACTTCAAAAATCTTAATGAGTTGCTAAAAATCACTTTTCAGTGGCTGCAAGACGACTACGTGGAGCTGCAGGAGCTGCAGATCGACGAGGACGTCGTTCAGAACGACGCTCTGGAGTACGACGTCGTGATCGAGGGAGAAGCTCAAGAAGAAGCTCAACTGGAGGATATGCCCGACATCACCGGCGAGCCGTTCATCCAGCAGCCCGGCGAGATCCCCGCCGAGCACTTCGAGCCCGTCGAGTTCTTCATTGTCAGATATTTGTCCTGAATTTCCAAGTTTTCCGCTATGCCGCACGCGACATCGCGAACGTCTTGCGCTATATCGCTCTCTGAAAAACTTTCAAAAAATATTCTTTTTCCAACTTGATCCATTATAAAAGTCTATGGCAGCGAGACTTTGACGAGCACACAGAAAACATGTTTTTCCATAAAATCACTAGAATTTCAATAATCATCCATTTTTCCTTTTTTTTTTTCGAATTTTCTAAGAAATAAAACCATTTTTAGCCGAGAAAAGTTGGATAAAAGTTTCATTTTGGGTATATTATCAAAAAAATCAAAGGACTTCTTATTTTGCAGTCGGAAGAAGATTTCCACGCCGGGACGTCCTACGAGCTGGAGCGGCACCAGGTCGTGGAAGCGGACGACGTCATGATCGTCCAGGAGGAAGAAGTCGTCGATGTGCCTCTCTTCAGATTCGAACCAACGACGTCTTCTGAACAGACCATGGCGGCGAATGTGGCGCCGAGGCAACGGAGGCCGTATTACGGGGCAAAGTGAATTTTATTTTGCTCCGAAAAGGAAAACGCGGAGATGTGAAAATTGAAAAAAAAAGGCAAAAATTCGGCAGGAAATGCTTGATTGAAAATATATTCGAAAAAATGACGAATATATTTTCAGAACGATGGTGGAACGACAGAAACAATGGACGTACAGCAAAGTCCGGGCCATGAATTCCTTCTCGAACCGAGAGTTGTCAGTTTATTTCGATACATTCATCGTCGGTCTTGAAACTCTAGTTCTCGTAGATTTCTTTCGGAGTTAGCAAATTAAAAATGAAAAGATGTTCATAAGAAGGATGAAACAGAAAAAAGGATGAACTCCACGATTTTTTGAAGAAATAACTGACAAAATCGAAAATGCAGTTTTTATCATATCCCGTGCCAAAAGAAATTTCTTCCTATCAAGATTTAGTCATCCGTATCAGTCTCTAACGGTTTATCTAAATTTCGCGAGATCATTTTGATCTCGAAATGAAGTTTAGTTAGTGAAATAAGGCTATTTTTTTAATAAATTCCAGTATTGCAGACAGCTTCACAACGCGACGGACCCATTTTTGCCCCTGGCCAGATCTTCCCGAAATGTTCCGCCAGCTGCGATGCGAATGCACTACGCCGCCTTGAAACTCGAGAATCGAGTTTATAAGTTGGTTTCCCTTTCCAAAAATTCATTTTAAATCAGGTTTTCAATCTTTTTTTGAACTCCTTAATGATTTTCTGAAAAAGATCCATTAAAGTAGTTCTTGCCTCTAAAAGTTCAATGTTTCTGTGTGATTTTATATTTAGTTCCTCATATTTTTCGATAGTTTCCCTTTCTTCTGTGAGATCTCTAAAGCGGGCTTGTGCGAGGGCCGGCCCGTCAGTCTATGACGTCCGCACGCTTTTCAAGCCTGAGTCGGCCTTAGCAAGGCCTTATGCGAAAAAGCTCAGGCCCGACCCGATAAGTGCAAATATTCTCCAAGTCAAATATCCTACTTTTATACGACAAACATCACGTTTTGGTTCTTTTAAACAATTAAAAAAAATTTTCGAGAAAAGTTTCGAGTAAAAAAATATTAAAAAAATTTTTATTAAAAAAATGTTTAGAGAATTTGAAAAACTTGTATTCGAAAAATCCCTCAAATTTTTTTCCAAAGATGAATATCATTTGAGGTTGAGCATAAATATGTGGAAGTAAGAGAGCCAAAGAAACAGAAAAAATTTGAAATAAAAGATTGTTATTTGATTATTTATCGATTGGCGATGGAGCACAAAAAAGTCGCTTTTTTCTTACTTCCTCAAAGCGCTAGACAAGTATTGAAAAAATGAAACTGTAATATTTGATATATAGGGACACTGAAACATTGAACTCTTCGAGGCAAAAAAAGTGAATTTGAAGAAAAATTTTTTTTCAAAAAACCCTTCGCCTTTGAAGGAATGATTCGCAAAATTCAGAGCCCAGCGGAACAACGTCAACGCCGTGGAACGGATGGAAAGTGCGGTTTGTCCAAAGTCAGTGGGAGTTCTCATTTACCAAAATAATTAGTTTTAGTTCAAATTATTTGAACGTTGAAAACTTTTAGCTCTCAAAAAAATTTTTAAAGGAAAAATGGCCTAGTTTGACAGGGAGTGTATTTATTCCAAAAAGAAAAAAATATGGAAATATGAAAATAATTTTCTGAAACTCTGTAAGACTTTGGCAATTTTCAAGGACATGAAAAGTTATTTAAAATCTCAGAATTTTCTTTTTCTGTAATCGTCGGCTCTATCTGAGCCATAAAAAGTAGACTTACGAGTTGAAATTTCGCAAAAAAATAAGAAAAAAACATGAGAATGACACGAAAAATCGTGAAAAAAACAGAAAAAAGAGGAATTAAAAGTGTCGAGAAAACCGCCGAGGGAAAATTGCCAATTTTTAATTTTAACTAGCCAAACCTCAAAAATTTGATGTTTCACGCTTTGTGTGCGCGTTAACTGAAATTTCAATTTTTATTGTGCTTTCTTCTATTTTTTGAGATCTTGTTTTGAAAACTCCATGAAGCTCCCTTCTCTGTGAAATTTCCGTCAAAATCTCCAGGATTTTTTATAGACATGAGAAAAATTTTGCAGATGCAACATGCGATTTTTCCTGCCGCTGTGCAAGATCCGGAGGTTCATCTCCTACCAACTGCCCGACGAAGAAGACGCCTTGCCTTTGGCCATGTTCACCTGTCCAGTTTGTCGCAACGTCTCCGGAACTGACGCCGAATCTTGATTTTTTGATTCTGATCAAAATGAATCTAGTTGTTGTTTTCTTATTGGTTAGAGAATTCCCAAAATAGGTTTTGAAAATAGTTCCCTTTCAATTTTTTTTCCCCCTAATTTTTTTAATGAAGTTTGAAAGATCTTTGTTTAGATTTTTTGAATTACTAATTAGAAGCAATTTTCGAGCATTTTTTTCGAGCTTTTTATGCTGATAATTCTCTTAGAAAGTTGATTGATATTCCGATTCCCATTTTATTGCTTCATCCTCCTTTTTATTCTGATCAATTTGGCTTCAAACGAAGTTCATTGCTGTATTTTAGTCGTTATCCAGTGTCTTTCTTTTTGTTTTTTTATCTTCCTTCAAAATCATTTTCTTAGGGGCTCCACTCATTTGAAACTTCTGGGAGATTTTGTTAGCCTGGGATAAAAAAAAAAGGATTTTAGGTTTTTTTTTTGTCTATTTTATGAAGTTCGATTGAGAATCAAAAAGATCTTCAACGTTTTTTTTTTTAGAAATTTTGTCTTTTATTTTTTATTTTTAGCTTGTTGAAATGTCTATAAAAATGTCTTTTGTAACTGAATATAGATTTTTTTTTTTAATTTTGCCAAGTTACGAATTTTTTTTGGGTGAAATTAAGCGCTTTTTTTCAGCTTCAATTTCTCAAAGTTGCTCTCTCTTTTTATATTTAAAAAAATTTTTTTCATTCTAAAGATGATGAACTATCCTATTTGTATCTTTAATATTCAGACCTTTTTCTTTCGATATGTACATTTACAATCCGAAATGGCTTGTTTTTATGTACATTCTGCAAGTTTAATCATTTCTATGATAATCAATTTTTGTTCTTTTTTTTTGATCAATTGTTGTCACGAAAATTATGCGTGACTTTGTTATCAATTGTTCTTTTTCTGCTTACGTGTTTTCTCGATGTCAAAAATGAAGAGTTACGGAAAGAATGTGTCATTTCTTTGGCGAAGTCTGACTGTCGATTGCTGTGCCCTATCCTATCGCTTCTGAATTGTTTGCTTGCTTCTTTCCCTTTGTTTCTAACCTGTCCAGAGCTTTCAGCGTGATGCACACGACACTCCGATCGGCGCCGCCACGACGTCTTCATGGAAGTTCTCCGGAAGACGCCGCCGCCGCTGGCGACGTCCCACATCTGGTACTGTCCAACTTGACCGAAATCTACGGAGTTTCGGCTCCATACGCACCAGAATGTCTGGTTTTCTGAAAAAAAGGGCGAGTACCAAATTTGACCTATAGAGGTCACTAAAAAAACCCCTTTCTGGGCCACTATTCAATCCTCTGTTGGAGCCACTAACTAAACCCCTATAGGGGCCACTTTTGCAATATTTAGTGTCTTTCTGAGTCAGTTTTTAACAAATTTTTCAACCCTAAAGAAAAAAGGCACTGCTTTTACACGGCGTTCCTAATGGGGGTGAGGGAAGGTGAGCGGGCGTCAAAGTTTCTGAATTTACAGAAAAATTTTAGTGCGCGCTACGGATAAAATGACGTCACGTGACGTCACAATCACACTGAATATTCAACGTTAATAACTTGTTTGTTCGATCGCCTTCGGCTGAAGTACTGTAGATTTCAAATTTCGCGCCAAAATTTTTTTGACGTCTTGCCACCCCGTTTGGGAACGCCGTGTTTAAGCAAATTCACAGGGCTCTCGGATCTTACCCCACACCTTCAGAACCACCGCAGTGCCAGCGTCGCCTCCCCCTACTCGAATCGTCGGCAGCCGGTCACCTCCACAGCGACCGCCGTGCTCTCGACTTCCATCAACGGACCGAGTCATCGGAAGTCGACGTCGTGCACTCGCGCCAAGAAGAAGTCGGCGGAAGAGACGACGACGACGACCCGACAGCCGTCGGCCTTTGTCGCCATCTCCAGACGCGCCAGCTCTCCCATTGAACGCTTCCGAAGATTTATTTCACGGTAGGAGGGGAGCTGGAGTTCAGAAAGTCTCTTAAGAGTTTCTCAGCGAACTGAGAATTTTTCAAAATCTTCTCGCAAGTTGACACCGGGCTAAAAATTCAATTTTTACACTTTTCGTTAACAATGCTAATTTTTTAAATCTAAAAATCATTTTCTTGAGTTTTTTTCCCGTTTCATTTCGAAGACACCTATCCATACACTGATCTTTAAATTTGTAAGATGTCAAAAAAACCCCCTGAAAAGCTTCTCTGAACTTCTTGAACAAAAAATGAATTTTTGCAGTCGAAAAAAATGTAATATTTAGGCTTTTGTGTTTGTTTGGGAAACTTGAAGGTTACTTTTCCCACAAAAAGTTCCATGATTTTTGATTTTCAAGTTCAACATGATAATGATCAATATTCACGATTTCTAGAAGATCTTCAATTAAACAGTGGAGACATAGAAAATCTCCACTAAAACCAGTAAGTCGGAATTTTTCATCAAGTCCTTTTTCAGCTCTCAACACACGTCAAAAATCGAGATTCCACCGGTTCCAGTCAAGTACGACGTCGTCGTTCAAACTGATGTTCATGAGGTTCTCAAGTTCATCTTCTTCGTTTCGATGAAAACTTTTAAGCTCGCCCCAACTGCCTTGTACGAGCTGCAGAAGGAGCTGGAGAAGGTGACGCTGGAACTGGAAAGGGTAAGAGAAAATATCAGAAATTGTGGATTTTAATCGATTTCTGAAGTGGTTCATTTTATATGAGAATAGCTCACGTCGTCTTGACAAAGAGTGAACTATCTTAAATTTGCACAGGAGATTGAACCGGGGACTTAGTCTTTATAGTCAAGACTGCTATCCACTGTACCAAGTTACCTGGCGAGATCATAAACCTCTCTGCGATAAACTTGGTGTAACAGCGAGACAAAATTAATTCACAGAATAATCGGTTTCTGGCGACTTTAAAGGGCGGGACTTCTCTGCACCCTCCTAGTCTCTCGGTGTCTGTCTCATGTTCCCGTGCTATTTGTATGTTTCTCTGAGCTCACCGGGGAGAAAATAAAGAGACGCAGACATTCGAAATCTTCAATTTGCGGTGTATCAGTATGAGCTCTTTTTTTTAGAAATAAAGAACCTTCTAGTGTTTAGCTTCTTCTGATGGAAAACTTGAGGTCATCCATTATTTTACAGACCAAGTCGCAGTTGAGGGAGAGCGAACGACGTCGGCAGGCTGTAGAAGCTCAGCTGGCCGCTGAGGAAGCCGTTCAGATGATTGCCGGAGGAGATCGAACTGAGAAGGCGCAGTCGAGAACCGCCCTCGGAGATATCAGCAACACCGTCGCGGCTGGCGATGCTACTCTTAGGGTCGGCTACAGTATACAAAATTTCTTTCCGCGCTACGTTTCGAGACCTGCACGTTCTTGAGATTTCGCTTTGAGACTTTTGATCCAATGGCGTACGGTATTTTTTTCTGAAAAATGGTCGTTATTCGCGTTTTTTTGAACCTTGTGTAATATAAATGCATAACAATACAGCACTGTTTAACACCGAAACCTTGTTTTCAACTGTAGAATATTCATTTTCAGCCAGAATCTCCCGACATTATCTGCCTGGACGACGAGCCGGAAAACAAGAGCAACTCGACCCGTCTTCTTGAACAAAAACTCGCCGAGGCTCTACAGAACCTTGAAGTTTTCGAATTTATATTGTTTTATTATGCACTGGAGGCTTTAGAATGAGCGAGCCGAGCACAAGAACATGTACAGAGACTTCTTGACGGTCGTCCGCGTAGCTGAACGACGACGCGAAGAAGCTCAAACTGCCTTGGATAGGTGGGGTCTGATTTCAGAGGAGAAAAACCGGAGAAGTCCTTTTGAAAGAAGACTTTTAACAGTAGATGTAGTTATAAGTATAAGATTTTGAGGTGGTTGAAATTTGTATGAGTGAAATTGACAAAGAGTTTTTTCTTAAGTTTTGATTACTTTTTTAATTAGAGAAATATTTTTTGGACTTGACTTGCAACTGAAAAATGAATTTTCAGATGAAACTTTGATGAAGTGTATTTCAGGACCTTCTGATTTCAAAACAAGAAACATTTTTTTGCAGTAGGTCCTTCAAAGTTTGCGAAACTCGCAATTATGAAAAAACGATGCTATAGCTGATTCACGGCTAGCTTGGGACGGAAAAAGGCGTGGCCTGTCTGCGCTCTCCACCAACCAGGCACTGTCTCTTTTCTTATCGTGTCAGGAACTTTTTTCGATGGCTCAAGCGAGACGTGAATCAGCTATACTTGAAGATTTTGAAGCGTCTTGTGAAAAATTAGATTTTTTTTTCCGGATTGTGGAGGTCCTAAGATACCCCTCAATAAAGTTTCACCAAAATTTCCCCTAGTTACAGCTCAATTTTTTCTCCTATTTTTCAGCCTCCGCCTCTCCGAAGACAACGATTGGTCGCAGTTGATGTTGGAGCACCGTCATGCTCTTCGACGAAATGTCTTGCTCACCTGGGCTCAGGCTCGGTTATCCCCATCCTCCTCGTTCTGTGAAAATAGTCAATTTTCAGAATCGACTCTTACGGCATCAGAGTGTCCAACTTTAGCTCGGACTGGTCGGACGGCCGTGCCTTTTGCGCCCTTCTGCACAGCTTTTATCCAGAATTGGTGAGTTTTTCTTGGGGTCTTGGAAGTTGAGGTCTGAAGAAAGGAGGCTTTGGGTTTTTTTTTTGGGGGGTAGGGACCAGAATAAGGTAAATTTAGAGAGAAAGTAAAAAAATCAAAGAAAGATCTCTTTTAGGTTTGCAGGTTTTTTTCTATCATTTTTTTTCGAAGTATTTTTTTACAACTTCCTCAAGCTTTATTTTTTTAAGTTTGGGAAAGTGTGCTCTACCGGAACGAGTCAAAAAATGGCTCGCGACAAATTTTAGGGCCATTTTATTGAACTGAAGCCGCTAGTAAGGCTTTTTTTGAGAGAGGTCTTCCAAGTCTTGAAAAAAATCAGTTTTTTTAGCCGTGAATCAAGTATTATTTATAACATCAACAATTTTTTTCCGTATGTGTAGATTCCACGTGTTAAAAATAGCCTCAGTTTCTTGACTCGGATTGAAAATCTTCCAAAAAAGAACAAACATCCTTCGAAGGCTTCTCTCGACGTCCCTGTTTCAGATCGGCGACAACCCGACGGCCGGCGACTGTGCCAGCCGAGCCCGTGACGTCATCGGCTCGATGAGCATCGAGACGTCGTCGCTGGAGCTCGGCGAGCCCCATCCAAACTGGCGCCCTGTCATGTCCGCCGTCTTCGAGGTCTACAAACGCGCCGTCCTTGCCAAATGACCAGTTTCGCTCCATTGAGAACGGCTACTTTCTCTTCTTCTTATTCTTCTTTCAACGACCTTTACGCATTCTTCCATTCTCTTTGCCTCGGAGAGCTGATAAAAGCAGCGAATTATGGATACTGTTCTCAAATTTTTCCTGAACTATTGATACCTCAAGAACGATTTGAAGAAAATGGATGCTCAGGACAGTATTTTGAGCTTCCTTCGTTTTTCAAATTGATATTTTTCCAAAATGATTCGTGATTGCTTGTAAATTTCAAGTCTGTCTCCGTTTTCCTTTCTCTCTCTCATAGAACCTAAACAAGAGATAAGAGAGCGCAGACAAATCAGACAGTTTCTAGTCGTGCCGACTGCTAGGGACAAAAAAAGTGCCCATATAGGGATTTTCTAATTTTAAGTTCAAATTTTGAAATTAGCAACGAACAACTAGAAAGTCTACTATTGGGGCCACTTTTGCAAGATTTAGCGGTCCCTATAGAGGTTGGTAAAGTGGTCCCCCATCAAGGAACTCTGCTAGCCCCTATAGGGACCACTCTGAAGTTCCTAACTACGCCTATCAAAAAAAAAAGAAAAAGTTTTCTCCTGTCGTTTCTCTGCGCCTCTTTCAGGCTCACGTTATGTCGCTTTTTTTCTGGGTGATTTCTCAATTTTTCCTTTTATTTTCCTAATTTTTGAGCCACTACGAGTTTTTCACTCACATTCCATTCAGAAGGCTCATTATGATGAGCAACACCTGCAAAAGATGAGAAGTTTTCTCAATTTTTCTCATGTCTTTGCTATTGTTTCCTAACTTTCTTTTACTAATCTGTCAAATGAGCAACAAGTTGGATAATCTCAGCAATACGTGGTAATTTCCTCAACCATTCCTTGTGCTTTACTTTGTGATTTTTGCCTTGACTCATTGATTTTTGTTTCAGTTTTAATCGAAAAAATTTTTTCTTTGCTGTCATTTAATGTTGACCATACACGAGATTTTAGTTACTAATTCAGTTTTCTTTTCTTCTTCTATTTCTAGCATCTCACCTTCGTTATAACTCTCAATTTATTGCTTGCCCTCTGATCTCCTAGGCTCACTTTGAAATTTGAACTGTCGCGACTTGTAAATTAACCTTTTTTCGCGAAAAATATGGATTCTTTGTGTGAATTTTGAATTTCTTCGAGTTTTGTGAATGATTTTTCGGTTTTCAACCCGGCGTTTACAGTATTTTCTTGCTCCGATCTTCTCCGCATGTTTGTGTTTATTTATGATTGCCTGTTGAAGGCGCAGGGCGGAACTGAATGCGTCTCGAAACGAAAAAAGGATCGACTAGCCAAAAAAAAAGCCATGCGCCTTTAAGAAGTGCTCGACTATGATTTTTTGAATTTTTTAGAACTAATCAGGTTTTTTGAAGTTTTTGGTATTAAATTATGCTTTGCATGCCTTTTTTTAGTTGCTTTTTCTCAGGATTTGAAAAAAATTTTTTTCAGTGCTCAGTGAAACTTTGATACTCAAAAAAATTCAAAATTTACGAAATCTTTCAAATTAAAATTGTTTTTTTTTGGAAGTCTGATTTTTTTTTCTCGCATGTCAATGTACTGCTTTTGAACTATAAATGTCTCTTTTATTTTTTGTCATTTTGTCTTTTTAAAAAAAAAAGGTAAATTTCTAACGTCGAGAAAAGAGCGAGAGTGCATAGAGAAAGTAGAGAGCTCAGACGAAAATAATCCACCTGCAAATCTCTGGGTCTCTTCAAGCATTTTGCTATCTAGGGCTCTTTTCGAATACTCGCTAACATAAGACATGATTCATTTCGAAAACAAAATAACAATTTGAAATACCAAAAAAAGAAGAAATCTATGGCAATGGGGGAATGAGGGCCATTGTTGTGGGATTTTTGAGTCATTTTTAATTTGGAAAATTTGCAAATCGAACAATAATTAGGATATTGATGACAATATAATTACAAAAAACTGAGAAAAGCCTAAGTCTGATTGGCTAAAGCACAAAAAAAAGGATGATACAAGTCCCGGTAGAAACACGCGCAAGAGTAGGTGATTGATATACAATTTCCGAAGAGGGGTTAAATGTGGGTTCACAGAGCATTTGATTCGATTGAATTTACGGCAACGGGAGAGAGAAAAGCGAGTTAAGGCGAATTGAGTAATTAAATAGGTTGGGGAGAAGGGAGGGAGTTATCCGGGCGCCGTGGCGTTGCCCTTCTTGCGGCGGCAGAACTTCCGATGCGTCTGCCAATGGCCTTGTTGGCATTCGACGCTGCAGTAGGCCGTGTTCCAGCAGCAATGGTAGATCGCCTAGAATAAGGATCCATTTCAGAGAGTTTTATTCGAAACTCAAAAAAAAAGTCTATAGTCCGTCCGTCGCGACTTGACAGTTTTCAAAACGTTTTCGTCCGGCAAGGTCAGAGAAGCATGAAAATAAAGTGCGTTCCGCGCGAGACGATCACGTATTGAAAGAAACAGCAAAAAAACTCTATCATGAATATAGTCTGTTCAGATTTTAAATGTCAACTAGCTAACCCTGCTGACACAGTCTCTTTTCGCGTCGCTGTTTTATCGTGCGGGATGATTTTTGATCTTTTTTGCTATAAAAATAGAAAGAGAAGTCAAAAAATGCAGTCATATTAAAGGTTCACCGTCATCTGTACATAAAAATGACGCGAAAGATATTTACGAATACAGCGAAAAAAAAGGTCTAGCGAAGTTGGGTCAAATTTGATTAGGCACACGATAGTTTCGGCAGAAAAAAACGTATAGGCCATTCCGCGCCATCATGTCACGTTTTTATTTCCGCCAAAAGGCCAGATCAAATTTGACCAACTTCGCTTCAAGACCTTTTTTTAAAAGCAGAATTGCTGAGAAAGCTGTTTTTAGGGTAGCCTTTTTTCCTTTTTTTTTTTCTACAATAACGTGACCGTCTCGCTCGGAACTCTCCAGAAAAACCGAATTTCGCGAAACTAAATTGGTCAAATTTGATAAAATTTGGTATACGATCTTTTTAGCAGAAAGAAAAACGTGAGAAGCTGGCGCGGAAGGACATTATTATTACAAAAGGCTCTCGCAAAAACCTGAATTTCAGGGTTTATAGAAATCCTCACCGACACTTGCAGAAACTCTAAATGTTTTATTACTTATATACTTGCGCCATTAAATAATAAAATTCAAGCAACAAATTTAAAAAGTTCCCAATGTAACTACTTCAGTAAATACTAACTAGTGGACCTTCTCAATACCGATTTCAAAAATGAAAATAATTTTAAGATTTGCTTCAAAATAACAGTCGCAAAATTGAAACGCTTCGATATTACCTGGGCTACAAATTTATTTTCGAACTTTTTGAAATTCCTGGTTATTTAACAGTTTCCAATGAATCAGAGTAAATAGCCACAAAAACCAACAAAAATAAATGCATTTTATATTGCTATCACCTAATCGAAACAGTTGATAGTAACACCTAAATTTACTTAAAAGTTCAAAATTATATAACGAAACCTCATTTTCACACTGCCAACACCATTGCTTCTTCTTGGCGGCGGCCAGATCTCGCTTGTACTTTTCGGCCATTTTGTTCATCTCCATCTTCAGAGATTCCCGGTACTTGGTCTCCAACTCGGTCCTGAATTTATTCAATAAATCTGTTAAGATTCGAGAGAAAAACCTCGTTTGGTCGAGTTCCTCCTTGAACTGGGACAAAAGTTCGGTTCGGATTTTCTGCTGATCCGCCAGAAATTCTTGATGCAGCTGAAATTCGTATCGCTCTTTATTTTGATCGAGGGAAGTTTGGAAGGAGAGGTGAGGTTTTAAATTCGAAATGAATCATAAATTTGTAAAATTAAGACCTTAAGTTCGCAAAATGAGATTAATTTGAAAGTTCCTCTCGATTTACAACAGTTAAAGGCAGATTGGGCTTTAGTTTTCCACACAGAATCTTCGAAAATTCGCACATGAAAATCATAAAAAGTTGTTGGTAATTGATTTAAGTTACTCCGGAATTCTATATTGAAGTTTATGAACAATATTTAGAATTTAAAGCAAAAAAATAGTTTTTCAAAGTTATTTACTTAAGCTTTAAAAATTTTTCAGAACTTTGATTCAACACAATCGAAGGAAAATTTCTGACACAATCTTTCTCTCACTCTTGAAATGAACTTTTTAAAAAACTTCGAAAAAATAAACATTTTCTCATTCACTATCTCGCCTGGATTTTTCACCTTCTAATTCAAAAATATAAGCATAAATGAGCTGCTACCTTTTCCGTCACTTCCACAAGTACTTTCTCTCGAGAATGTTGATAATCAGTGACCCATTGCCGCTGAAGATCCACGATCATTCGCTTTAGTCGGTCGTCCACCGGCCAATTGTCCAACTAACAAGGAAACATGATCTTCTCCCAAATCATTTTTGGTTAACTTACGCCCTCGCCCTGTTCTTGCGGATCTACCATCATAGATCCGTGTGGCTGTTGCTGTTGCTGCTGTTGGGGCTGCTGCTGTGTGGGCTGGACCATCTTCGAAGATCCTTCTTCGATCGGAGCCCCGTGGCCGCTGTTGCTCTCGACGTGCATCTCGACGTGCATCTCGGGCCGCATCTCGGGGCGCTCCGGTGGTGCCTCCGACATCATGCCGCTTTTATCTGCAATATTTCACATTTAAAGACAAAATCGAAGAAAAACCAGAGTTTTACGGTTGGATGTAAGTTTGGACGCAAATTAGATAATGTAAAAACGATTTTATGAATATTTCAAAAGTTTTAACTGAGAAATACGAAGGTTAAACTTATCAAAAGAAAAAAGTATGATTCCAAAGTTCGGAAAAACAGAGATCCGCCTCATTCCAACTGTGATAACGTTATATTCAAAAAATGAATACAACAACAATATCAAAAATTTCCAAACTTAAAAAGAAAACAAATCCGAACAAGATACAAGGACAAAAAAAGAATACACTTTGAAATGAAATATTATACTTTTTTTCAAAGACCAATGATCGTGTTAATTTTAATGGAACAATTATTAACCAAAGATTCTAATATTTAGTTTATTAAAATAAAGATAAAATTTGAAAATTTTTATGAAAATACGATAAGCAACTACGCCGTGAAGCGCGTCATACAGTATGACACTTTTTTTCTTTTTCTTAATTTCATGTTTTTAGGGTCTTTCTATACTATTCTAGGTTTTCGAAACGATGAAATCGGGTTCATAATTTTCATCTGAATTTTAAAAACACAAAAAATAAAGAAATTCAAATGAAATGGGGGCGCGGCACGTGCGGAATGCGTTTTTCCGATACTCCAAATGACGCCATTGTCCGACGAGCACCCTTGGCGCTGAGATGGGCTGTCTCCCCTTCAAAAACTTTATTTTTTTAATTTTTTTAAGTGTAATATAGTCTTGTTTTTTTCGATTATTATGTAAATAATGATGACCAAGAGTTGAATAGGGATCAAGCTGATTGATTTTAAAGCAAGAACTTGATATAACTTCTAGATATTTCCGGTTTTAGGCCGCACTAAAAATAAAAATACTTTTTATCGGTTTTAAGCGTTCTTTTAAGTTGTTCTAATTGTATTTACCTATTATTCTAATTTTTGTCTTGATTCTTTTAATATTTTTTACATATAAATCGCAGGAAATAGGGTTTTGTCACCAGAAACAGAATTCTATTACAAAGTTTGTTTCAAAAACTTTTTAACTGTCAAATTTCCTAGGACAATCACTTTTATCTCCCTAAATCAATAATCTAAAAAAAAATTTGAAAGCGTCTCCCGAAAGTGAATAATGCATTTTGTACTTTATATCATCGCGAACTTACTTTGCACTTTGCCCGCTCACGTTTGCTGATTGCTTCCTGTTTACTCCACTAATTTTGCACTTCTTAATGTTTTTGAATTTTGAAATGGCGAGAAATTATCGTTCACATTTTTTTTTTCAAAATTTTCAATCAATGAAATATTTTAATTTTCGTTCAGTATGAACCGTGCGGTAGCTTCTCGTTTCTTGGCCATCCGAAGGGCTTTCCAGAAGCGAAAATGGATCTGGCGGACACCATGAGGTATATTTATTTTATTAATTTATTAATTATTTCATTTTTTTGAAGTTCGTTTTATCATTGGAATGAAAAATGCCCTTTTCTGACATTATGACTCATGACTCATCAAGAAAAGTTGGCTTCGTCATTGTTTGGAAGGAATTTTGCTTATCATTATGCACTTTAAAAGGTCAAAAAATGGTTCCGTAGTATTCGAATAGAAAATTGATTTTCTTTCAAATACAAATAAAGGGAAGAAAAAAACAAAGGTTTTTTGGTTATCAAGTTAATTTTGTCAGACTTCATTTTTCAAAAAGCTTTCAAACTTCATAGAAAGGTTCTCTTTGCTTTAACAAACTTTAAACCCTTTGTTAGCGAAATATCTGCTTTAATTTTGATTTTCAATAAGTTTCGTCCATATAAAGGTTTAAAAAAAGCTGATGAATTTTTAATTGAGAGAGGGCGTTTCTCGAGTGGTATGACGTATTAGGGTTAAGGTTCTGATTTCTTACATTCATTTTTTTTTAATCGAGTATCCCTTGAAATGGTGAGGAAAGGGTGAAGGAAAGTTGAGGATAAGTTATGAAAAAATTAATTATTATGACCTTAATTTTTTTTTTGCTGTTAGTTTTCATCCCTAGAAGATTTTCAATATAATCAAATTCGAACGAATATATTCATGTCTGAGGGAAAACCGTTTGTTTATTATTCATTTCTCTGCGTCAAGCACTTTTTTTCACGCTTTTTCAGTTTTCAAAAATGGAATCCCATCCAAATTGATGAAGTACTCAGTGGGATAGTATTTGAAAGTCAGAATTTATTCTCGGAGCAGAAAAAGTTTTAAAGTACTGGTTAACTAAAGGAAATGCGTGATAATTTCAAAAAAGCAAAAAATCGGAAATTTTAGAGTGTTGATTTATCTCTTGAGGACATTTTGGAAGATATAAAACAAAAAATAACGTCTTTTTTGGCTTATGCTGTTCAAAAATGACCAAAAAAGATCTTATGGTGCCTTTGGTGTTTCTATTGCTTTTTTCAACAAAGACGGAAGTCAAGGAAAAAGTTGATTCATTAATTTTTCATTATTCAAATGAAAAAAATAAATCAACATGATATGTTTAAAACCTATGGAAAGTTCTCTTTTCTGATAGTTTTCCCACACTTTCATGAATTTAATTTGATTGAAATTTGATTTAATATCGTCTTGAATCAACAGAAGTGGCTCCAAAAAAGAGCTCATATGTTTTTTTTTGACCAAAGCTCATTTACGGTTCTTTGATCCTTAACTCAAAAGCCTTTTGTCGTTTATTCTATAAAGCCTCTGATCAAAAGTTTCTTACTAAATGAAATATTGTGCCCTAAACGAATGTTTCAGGTGGTAAACGTAGGACCGCCGACGACCTTCGACTACATGCCGATCCCGTTCCAGTCGTACCAGAAGGTGCACGGAGAGCTCCAGGCCAAGTTCAACATGTACCTGGCCGTCTCGGCGGCTCTTTTTGCCTCGTCCTTCTTCCTGGCCATCTACACCGACGTCTTCTGTCTGGAAGCCCTCCGTCCGCCACAGAGCTACCGTAACCGCAAATAAACATCGATACGGTACCCCACCAACTATTAGTAGCGCTGTAATATTGTGTTCGAGGTCGATTATGAGGAAAATAAACTGTTTTTGGTTTTTTATTGCTGTTTTTCGATTCTTAAGAAGCTTGGTTGTGTTATAGTTTGTTCAGAAATTCTTGTAGGATATTTTAAAGGCGCATGTTTCTTGCAGAACTATCATCGCTTTGAAACCTTCTTCAGAAGTTCCATGTGCTCCTTTGGAAATTCAAAAAAGAATTTATGAATGAACTATATTCCCTGATGGTTATTTTTTTCTGATTTCAAGAAAGAATCGATTGAATTTTTTCCTTTTCTCGTTCAGCACATGTCAGAACGGCCACTAACATCAGAGGAGCAGTTGAATTTGTCTCGGGCCAGGGACAAAATTGCCCTTTTGAACTCCGATCTGCTTGATATTCTGAAGGAATTGTATGAGGAGAGAAAGTCCTACGACCTCGTGAGCTTTTTCATTTTCCAAATGGGTCTTAGAACGAATGGGAAAAAAGGAGGGAGATTTATTGTTTATGTTGGTTCTTTGAGGGGATTTTTTCGTGTGCAAATTCTTTTTGATATAATTTTGTAGCAATTCCTTGAACCATTTACTTGAAACTTTTAGGAATAACATAGTTTTATTGGTGAAATAATATTGGTGTTTTTTTTTACATCCTGTAAAGGAAATTTCATAAATTATAGGAAACACCTTGCTCGAAACTTCAACTTAGGTCTTTCTCAAAACTTTTTTCGAATCACTAATTTTTTTTTCAGAAAGTCTATCGTTTTCTTTATTTCAGTGTGCCAGCAAAGCTTTTTCAAGCTTATCTCAGACGTCAAATTTGTGCAGAATTTCGCGTTATTGAATTTTTCTGAAATGAAAATTGCATTTTTGAAACAATTCCCCTAGTCTCAGTGTAGGAAAATACAATATTCTAGATGTTAAAAGTATAATTTGAACATATTATTTTCAAAACACTTTTTTTTAGATCATCTCGTCAACTAAATTACATGAAGTTGATAATTTCATTTTTTTTTTCAGTCCTATTAAGCTTTTATCACTTTCTGATCGATTTTCAGACAGCAACACTTCAATCCTACATCGATCACATTGCCAAGATCAAAAAGATGTACGGAATCGAGAAGGAAGATGGGAAAGGCCTCGTGAAACCTGCGGAAAAGGAGAAAACGAATGCAATTCCTGAGAAACGAAAGTTTGCCAAGGTTGGTTTTCTGAAGAAAACGTTGCATCATTATCATTTTTTGCTGAACTTCTTTTGGAGTTATTAGGTGTTTGAAAAGGCAAAACCATTATAATGAAGTTTTTGATGCGAATAACCGTATTCAGCAGTTTTCCAAGCCCTGCATGGATTCTGCGCCTTTGAACTTGTATAGCAATGGTTTTTGGATTTAAATATAATTTATAGTGAGACTGAGATCGTTACTAATTACATTTCGAATCTATTTTCATTGGAAAAAACAATTTTGGAATACTTTTGAAGCGAAAAAAAAATCGATTTCTTGTCTAGAAGGGGCACACTCCATTTAATGAAAATTTTGAGGTGAAAAAGACTTCATTTTGAGTAGTTTTTGAAGCCATTGAAGACGCCGTTTTTATTGGATAAGAACGATGATTTTTTTATTATTCTTTAATTAAAAAAATACTTTGTTTAGAAAAAAATTTTTACACGATGAAAAAGTAGAATAAAAAGTTTATTTCATACAGATTCCTGTCTTTCCTTTTTATTTTTTACATTTTCCCTTGTGCCGTCTTCAAAGTGATTTCGTCAATTTTCGAAATTGACGCGTTATTCGATAAAATTATTTCGCGAAATACGCCAATTTGGAATTCCGTAAAAATAGCTGATTTGCTGTAGGACTCACTTTTTTTCTTGGCCAATTTTGCGTATTTTATGAATTAATTTTGAACGAATGACGCGTCTATTTGAAGTGGCTAAATTCAGAACAGCGGACCCCGAAAAGATCGGAAAAAATGCTGAAGAAGAACGCATCAATTTCAAAATCAATGCATTGAAACTTCCATTTTCCAGGCCAAACGACGCGGCATCAAAGAGGACGGCGATGCGACGTTGACCGCGACGCCGTACACTTCCAAACCGAGTTTCGAGCCAACGAAATCCTTCCCCCCGGCTATCCCAATCATTGACCAACTCTCCAAGCCGATTTCCAACTTCGCCGCGTCGTCTCCGTCGTTAACGGCTTCTATGGCCGCCACGCCCAGATTTGGGTGGGATTTCGAGGGGGAAACTTGATAAAATCCGAAGTCTGATCATGGGCGAACAAAAGAAGCACTTCAAATTATAGTATTTTCCTTCGTGTCTTGTTAAAACTTATTCCGCGGATTTTAAAATTGTCTCTTACTTTCCGAAACTTGGTCATCTTTTTCAAAAGTTTTTTTGAATTTCACTTTGAAAACCGTATTAAAAGGATAGGACATCCATTTGAAAGATCATATTTGATAGGTTTTCAAATTTTTTGAAGTTGTTCATCGAGACATAATAATCCTTCTGAAGTTCATAGTTATTATATACGCCCATTGAAACTTATTTGTAAATGGTTAATTTAACAGAATGTTTGAATCTCATTTCTAATTTTCAATGTTTTTCTTATCATGTTAAGGCTTTCTGTGGATATTTTCAGGTGTAAAATAAGAAAAATATGTAGTTGCGACCAAAGAAAAAACTTTTATATAAGTGACCGGTGCGATTTTCATGCAAAAAATTAGCAAAAAGTAGAAAAATAACCTTTCCGAATGTATTTTATCAGTTTTTTTTTTTGGAGATTTCATGAATGATCCACTGTTTCTAGAAATGCAATAGTTTTCTAAAATAGAAGTATACAAGTAACTTTATTTACTTTCACCTTTATCAAACTCCAAACAGAAACTTTTCCGTTAATATTTATAATTTCCTTTTTTTTCAGAGACCTGTCCAAAATAGAAACTTCGTCGCCAGCAGTACCTATTCCAGATGTATGAAAATATTTCGTGAACGATTGATATAAGAATATATTTATTGTCAGAAGCCTGAAGAATCGGCAAAAAGCGGCGGTAGGAAGCGGGCGATCCGCGGCGGCGGAGTCTTGGGCGGCTCGGAAACTGTCGTTTTCCGTGGTAATGATAGTGGAGGTGTGTGGGGAATGAAACAAAAAGTGTGAAAATTTTGAATCGTAAAAAAAGAGTGTAGAAAGTTGAATTTTCTATGTTTCTTAATGACTTTTTTTAAACTTTTGTATCGACTTTGTGATTTCCTTGGTTTTTTTTTTTGAGAGTCTTTTTTTATTTTTAAGACAGTTTTATCATTTGGAAACGTCTAATAAATTACAAGGATACTCTTAAAAGTTAAAATTTAAGTGAATTTGTCTGAAAAAGCAGGATGTTTAATTGAGTCGAGAAAATCAATGAACTGAGCCAAAATTACTTTCAAAAAATTTAGAACTGCGTGATTGAAAGTTTCTTTTTACATTTTTTACATATGAAACTTGACTATCGAGATATTTATCATTTATGCCTGTTTTTCATTGTGACAATCACTTTTGCAGCCAAGGAGAACAAAGATTCGACGCCGAAATTCCCCATCCCGACGATAGTCCTGCCAAAACCGACGCCAGACTTCTGGACGAAAAAGCCAGCCGCTCCAGAAGGCAAAGATGCCCCTGTGATGGGCGGTGGAAGCCTTTTCGCCTTCATGAACAAGGATGGGTGAGTATTAAAGCTTCTTAACGCTATTGAAACATTTTTTTCTTTGATTTGAAAACGCTCCGAAGTTTCAAGTTCTTAATTTGAGGTCCTAAAAAAAGTGTTGCAAAACCGTTTTCTATATTTAATCTTTATTAAGATCCCGCCATTTTAGAGCGATTTTTCTGTGGAATAGTAAGAAATTTTTTTCACAAGGTAATTTGAAAGTTGTTTTCCAAGACCAGAATAATTTTAAAAAAAGTTGAAGTTGAGCAGGAAAAAAGTTTTTTTGCAGGGTTTTTACGGACTTATTAGAAGAACAAATAGGATAATTTTAATAATCTACTCATTTTCGTGAAAAATTTCAGAAACAAACATTTTTTTAAACAAATATCTTTTTGTGGACCGTAACCCGCGCCGACGACTAACTCTTCGGTTATGCCATGATTCAGCAGAGATTTCTTCATCTTACTCTGAAGACTGAATAAATTGTAATTGTAGTTGTATCTTTTTTCCCGCTTACTGATTCAAATAAGAACCAGTATGACAAATTGGAAAACTTTCAAAAATAGCGAAATGTGATATTTCTGATATTCAACTAACTTTCAGCAACGCCCCGCCGGCACCAAAGTTCACTGGTTTTTCGTTTGGAAAAAAGCCGGATGAAGAGAAACCGGATGATAAAAAGGAGGAAGAGAAGAAAAATGAGAAGACGGAAGACAAGAAAGACGACGAAGCCGCCAAGAGGTTCAGATAGAAGACGGGCTTCTTTTGAGGACAAAATGTGCATTTTTCAGTTCTTCACTGTTCAAATTTGGCGCTTCCACGAACAATTCAAACTCTTCTCCGTTTTCCTTCGGAAACGGGAAAGTCGGCGATTCGGCGACGACTTCGACCTTCGGATCTCTTCTTCCTGGAAATTCCACCAAAACTTCTTCGGCCGCTCCGGTCTTCCCGTCATTTGGGGCCAAGCCGAGCGGTGATGGCGAAAAGTGGGAGTTTCGATTTTTCAAAAGCTGAAGGTCAACAAATATCGTTATCATTATATATTTTCCTTTTTAGTAAATATTGGAAAACACCCTCATTCAGATCCTACACCTTGCCGGCGCCCCCAGCTTTCCCGTCGCTCGGATCGTCCTCCATTTTCTCTTCAATCAACACGACGGGGCCTTCTCCAGATGCTCCCAAGCTGACTTTCGGCTCGGGACTTGGCGGCGGCGGAGGACTTTTCGGCAATTTGGCTTCTCAGGCTGCTGCCAATGCTGAGAAAGGCAATGAGGAGGATGAGGGTGTGTCGTTAAATTGATTTTTGGTTTTGAAAAATGAATCGGAATAGGTTTAATTTGTCATTTTATAATGCCCTTACTAGCTAAAATAACATTTGTTCGGAAATCTTCAGGAAATTCAAAATAGCCGTCAGAGATTGAAAAAGATAGCTAAACTTTGAAGAAACAACACTGCATAATTTTTGGATAAATTTTCGAAGTTTCCTTCTCTATTCATTTTTCTCTTCAGAAGCAGAGGAGCCGCCAAAAGTTGAGGCGGTCGAGGTCAAGGAAGACGACGCCATCTTGAGCTTGAAGTGAGATCCAAAACAAAAAGAAAACATTTCTAATTTCTCCATTCATTTCAAGAGGGGCTGTCTTCAAATACGCCAACAAGACCTATGAGAAACTCGGCGTCGGAATGGTCTACGTGAAGGAGAACGACGGGAAACCGAGTGTGTTGATTCGCGCCGCCACGACTACTGGTTTGAATTCGGCCAAAACGGAAAAGCTCCTCAAAGACTTTTTTCAAAAACAGATCTTATAAAATTTCTCAAATTTTTTTTTCACTTTTTCATATTCTTTATTAAAAAGCTGCTGGATAGCAACTGAACGGATTCTAGGACATCCAAAAAAAGATCCTCCGTCGCCTGAAAATGGAGCTCAAGACACTTTTCCCCAGTAACCTTTTCAGCTCTTTCTCAGGGTCCTTGTAGGGACTTTTCCGTTGCTACCTATGAAACTATCTTTTCCGCGGATTTCAGTGAACTTTTTAGGTAAGGTCTGGCTGAACACGCTGATCAACGCGGCGATGAAGGCGACCAAGGCCGGCGAGAAAAATGACAAAATCAGGGTTGGTTTCTGGAGGAAAAGAGGGCTCTCATGTTAATAAGGTTAACCAGCCGTGCGGGCGGTTCTCAGAGGGTGAACCCGTAATAGACCCGTATAACCACAGTTTGGAGTGTTTTCGACTTTTTCGAGACATCTTTCGAGTACGGTTGAATCTCAGCTTTTTCTAAATAAAAACAGCGGGGTCCCTTATTGCACCCGTTTGATCCCTGTGTTAGCAAAAATGATACTCGAATAACTTCAAAAATCGCGGGTCTAACACGGGTATACCCGTTGAGTCACCTGGTCAGCATGAGTTGATAAGATCCATTGCTTATTCGATCATAGCCTATTCCGCGACAGGTTGTTTCGTTTTTCCCTTCCGCAAAAAAGCCCGTATATCAAACTGGACAAATATGACCCCATTTTGCTTCAAGACCTTTTTTTTGCTGTCTATTTTCAGTTTTGTAGAGCAAACTTTGAAACTTTTTTTCAGTCTTCAGAGTAGGTTCTCCGCTGAATCATGGAATAATTGAAGAGTTGTTTGTCGGTTCGCGATAATGTCGTTGATCAAGCGTAGACGGCGCGTAGAGCATCTCGCTTCTCTTGTGATAGTAGTAGACGACTTTAGAGAGTATCCGACAATCACTGCTTCTCCATGTAGGAACAGTACGGCGCCTAGTTTGTCCAGGGCTGACGGGCGTCGGAATGAATCTCGGACGAGAGCGGAAATGAAGACCTACTACTCGGGTGTTAGAAATCAGATAATAATAAAAATGAGATGATAATGAAATGAGATAATAATAAAAAAAATTTAAGAGCAAAGTGCAAACGTTTTTTTTCAAAAGATCACCGCCTTGACTTTACAAGGAGAAAGAATATGGTCCTGTTCGCCTAATAATTTTTCAATGAAACCTTTCGAAAAACTGAAAGATTGCAGCTGAGCTGTCCGATCAGCGACTCTGAGATCGCGACACTGCTGATCCGCTTCGCGTCGCCCGAAGAAGCCTCGAGTTTCTTCGACAAAATCGAAGAGAAACAAAAACAATGACTCCTAACAACCTGCAAACCTTGACATAATTCCCACATTCCATCTCTTTTTTTCCAGTGGTTTTCTTCATTTTTTTTCTCCGATATAATTTTTTTGTTTATTATTTTTTTCTAACACATCATGTTTATCGATTTGATCGTCCTCGTTTAATTCGTTCCTCAATTTTAGTTTAATCCATTTTTTGCTGTTTTTGTGAATGAATTGTCCTACAATCACCCGTTGAATAAAGTAATCTTCTTTTAGCGATTCAAAGAGAAAAACTAAAACTACAATTTTATTCAGTTATAATGGTTTTTCATACCGCTTTCGAATTGATTTGTCTAACCCTTTTGGATTTTTTCATTTTGACATTTCAGTCATAGGAGCCAAAATTTTGCAGAATTTCAAAACGTAAAAATCATTAAAAGGCGCATAACTCTTTTTCTAGAAGGTTTGGAACTATTATGTCTTTCGATTTGACTTTGTGACGTCATTATTCATCAAATAATGTGTTCAAATCGATATTTTAGAGTTTTGAGAAAATTGAAAAATTTGCAGTCCTTTCGATTTTTTTCATTTTCGACATTTCATTCATGGAAGCCGATCTAAACGAAACCTATATCACTCGAAAGATCTCGACGAAAAAATAACCTGAGAGCAGGTTTGACCTCCGTAGGTCAACTAGGAACTTAGTTAGAGGCGATCAAACTTAGGAATCAAAAATTTCAAAATCCTTCAAAACTGGTATCAATCGATAGAGGAGATCACAAGGATCAAGTAAAACCTAGGTCTCTAAGTTCCTAACCTTCTAGAAATCGATTTGTGATTTTCAAAAACTTCAAAAAATTATAACTTTGATTCTAGAAACCTTAGAACTTTTTAACATAAATTTTCGGACTTCTGACGTCATTTACTATCGATTGATGTAAAAATCTGAGAATCTTTGGTTTTCGGGAAAATCGAAAAAAGTGCAGTCTAACCCCTTCAGTTTTTTCCGAGCTTCTGAAGTGATGGAAGCCGATCTGGACGAAACCTATATCAATCGATAGATCTCGACGAAAAAATAACCGGAGGCCAGGTTTTGACCCTCTGTAGGTCAACTAGGAACTAAGTTAGAGGCGATCAAACTTAGAGGTCAAAAAATGGAAAGTAGGTCAAACTTGGTGTCAATCGATAAAGGAAATCCTGAGGATCTAGCTAAACTACTTCTCTAAGTTCCTAACCTCCTAGAACTTGAAATTTAACGATTTAAAGTTATAAAAATGCAAAATTTCAAAACGGGAACATTATTAAAAGACGCATAACTCTTTTTCTAGAAGGTTTAGAATTATTCTGTCTTCGAATTTGGCTTTGTGACGTCATTATTCATCAAAGAATGTGCTCAAATCGATATTTTAGAGTTTTGAGAAAATTGAAAAATTTGGAGATTTTCCTTTTGATGCGATTTCTCGAAGTATGTAGAAGACTGATAACCAAAAGGACCGTTGCGTTTTTTCTGTTGTAGAAAAAGAAAAAGAACTACCTCTTCATTAATAAATATTTATTACACATAGAGATAGGAGAAGAAGAAGAAGAGTAGATGGGGGAAGCCAAAAATAACAAGCAGTAAGAATCCAACTTCGTACGAATATGAAACAGAAAAGAGAGTGAGAACCAGTCTGGGGGAAACATTTTAGAAAGGAAGCCGAAAATTTGCACAATATATAGGTAGGCTTGTCCAAGAAGAAAAAAACCCATTTCTCAAATTTTGAAACGTTTCTCGTGGGGATACATTTTTATAGTTGGGTGACGATCCAGGAAGCTTTTTTGGAACCGAAATGGATCGAAACCTGAGCCCGTCTCAAAAAAGAAACGAAAAAAAAACAACATTTTTTTGTGGACAAAAAAAAAATCAAAATTGAGCTGAAACTGCGCGGGAAACACTTGAATTCAAATAAAAAGTATAATAATATATAATTTTGTACAGACCGCTACGGTGTGCTTAACTACAAAAAGAAAGGAACAAAAAAGGCAAATTCTACTGGTTGGAAAACTGGCATTCTATGTACAAACAAACAGCTAGAGTGAGGAGAGTTCAACGAATTGAGAGAATAAAAAAAAAACAAAATTTGATCTAAAATGAACCAACTGAAGAGCATAATTTGAAGCTATGAATGGGGAAAAGATAAGTACAAACAGCATTTTTTACATAGGGAATTTATAGTCCGTGTGAATTCGTTGGAAAGAAGAAGAATTGCGAAAAATTAGCGATGGTCGCACTTGGAATGGCTAAGTGTCCTTTTTAAAATTTCTGATGATTTCATGCGAAAGTCATTTTTGGTCGAAAACAGTCGAGTCATTCCAAATGCGACCACATGTTTCAAGATAAGATGAATGAAGTTGAATTTTAAAAAAGATTTTCTACAGAGTAGCTATTTTTCCCACGAAAACAGCCAAGCTGTTTTTTTTTTTCGAATGGCAAGTTCGCTTCACAGTCCTTTATGATAAAAAAAAAACTTTTTTTCTCACTTTCTGAGTTATTTCTCAATGATATCAAGCTAGAATCTTTTTGAAAAATATCCACTATTTTATTGAGGAAGTTTAAAAACCATCGTTTTATTTTTTTCAAGCCGTTTTTTTCCATGCTGAAACTCCTTAAAAAAACCGAATTTCGACATTTGGAAGCGGCTAAGTTGCTCTATTGCTAATTTTATTCTCGAAATTTCTCCCGATTTTGTCCGAATATATCTAACTACTCCATTAAAATGACACGTACAATAAAAAAAATCGGGGCCTTAAAAAATGAAATAATCCCACGAAGCAAAAAAAAAGATAGAGAAAAATCCCTGGGCAATCAAATAGTTCACGATTGTATATTCCTTTTGAAAAATAGGAAATGAGCACCGGCGCAGTTGAAAAAAAGAAGAAATCGACCCAAGATGCATAAACAAAGGGTAATTATAATTATTATATTAGGAAGGGGAAAAAAATGATTAGAGAAATATTGGAAGAAAGATTGCTGCCATCGCCTTTTTACAAAAATGTCTTGCCTGAGTGGTTGGGGGAAATCGATATCCGTCGATTTCTCTTGTAAAAACCAATCGATAAATCCCGTAGAGTGAAGTCAGGCGTCGTGGGGTCTGGAAAAGGTTAATCGTTAATTGCCGAAAAGTGAGCTTCTTAGAGTTTTCGAACATAATCGAGCTTTATCTGTTCATAGAAAAAACTAACCTAAGCAAATACTACAAAAAGAGAGAATTTCTAACAAAAAAAAAGCAAAATTTGAAACAGAATAAACAGAAGATTTCAAGAAAATGGTACGTCTAAGAACACCTTTTGCGTAAGAAATTCAACTCTTCTAGACGTTTTTTTTTTTGAAATTTGAAATCTGAATCAACATTTCTATGACCAGGATTCGTTGGTCCTCACCTAGTTGTCCTCGTCGATCTCGACGGCCTCCGGGATGCTCGAGGGCGGGCTGTCGTTGCTGCCGGCGGTCGAGGCGGAAGACGTGCGCGGCATCGGCGTCGACGACGTCGCCCCGAACGACATCGGCGGCTGTTGGGCCGGGTCCAGGATCAGGTACTTGAGGATGTCCGAGAGGGACACGACGCCGACCACCTCAAAGGTTGAAGGTTTGAATTGATCAGGAGGTTTCAGAAGAAGTTTTTACCATTTTATATGGAAGCTTACCAAGTTGAAAAAGTTTCATATAATTTTTTTTTTGAAATCTTTTGTAATCCGCCAGTTTTTAAAGTTACATATAAATAAATTTTTCAAAGCCGCCGCCCTAGATTCCTAAAGTTTTAGAGCATTCTATTTTTTTGATCTGCGAATTTTCGGAGGTAGTGCCGAATAGAAAAACAAGACTGAGATAATAAAACCTAAAAAGATCTTTAAATTACGTGTGAAACGGTGAATTGCAGAAAAAAATTAATATTTTTAAAAAGATATTTTGAGGGAAAATGTGAAGAAAAATCAGTTTTAACTTCCTCTTTCCTTATTACCCAAAAATGTTTCTGTTTCGAAAGCTTTGGATTATTATAAAAACTGTTGAATGTTTTCCTGGGAGAAAGAAAATGTTTTTTTGTTGGTAAAATTGATGATTTTTTGTCTTTCCCATTCGAAAAAAACTGACTTTTTTTCGTTTTGTCGCTCTTCTCATTGTAAAATTGAATCAAGAAATGCTCAAAAAGTAGACATTTTGATGCGATTTAAAAAAAAATTAAGATAAAGCTTCTCATACAAGACGACATTCCACAAAAATTCCTAAACTTCATTGCTTGATCGAAATGCTCGCTATTTTACAGAGTGGACACTCAAGAGGTCATTTTCTGAAGAACTAGTACCTTCTTGTCCTTATCAGTGACGATGAGCCGATGGACCTCGGCCTTGACGATTGTCTCCATCACGACGTGGAGTGGATCCGTCTCCAAGCAGGTGTGAACGCCTTCGAACCACTGCAAATATGATGTAGGATGAGCAACGGGTTGCAACGCTGAGGGATACCTCGGATCGGTGGCTCAGCGCCTCCTGCACCGTACAGTCCAACTTGTCGTAGGAATTCTCGGCAGCCAGGCTGATCACGTCGAATTTCGCATAAATATCAACAACCTGAACACAAAGACTTCATTTCGTTTTTAAAAAATTCCAGAAAATTCAGAAATTCTTGGCTTCGATCCTAGTTGAAACTTAACACAGTACCGTTGATCGGGGAAAAATATTCCGATTTTTGGTTGAGCCTGACCGAATGCTCATTTCAGTGAGATCGAATTGAGAGGGACTATCGATAGAAAAAAGAGTATACTTAAGGCGGCTAAAGTGGTCACTATGGGGGTGCAAAAAAAGCCTCTATAGGTAGGGACCGCAGACGAATTTTCAAAAAATTTTTCGAACTTTAATATTACTATGGTTGGATAGCTGCTCTAATTTACTATTCAAAACAGTTTAGTTTTTCGAAAAAGGTTGAGAAAAAAAAAAGTTATGGTCAAAACAGTAGTGAAAAAAGTCGCGAAATTTAGTACTGAAAGTTTAGATTTTACACTTTTTGGTCGTTCATTGTGTTTTTCATATCGGATTTAAATTTTTTTAGTAGTTTATTCCGGTTTTTCAAAGTCGTAATAAGTCATTAAAAACAGTATAAAACCACAAGTTTGAAAAGAAAAGCTATTTTTTCTTGAAAAATGAAAAAAAGGCCGCTGCGAGGATTGAACTCGCGATATCAAAACTGTATGCAAGCGCACTTGCGCTGCTCCACACACATCTCTCGGAGATAAGAGGCGTTCGCGCTATACACCACTTCACCTCAAAGTACAGCATTTACCGACTATCTTGTTTAAAAAAAGTTATGATAGTTGAACAATTATTAGTCACGTGTGTTCGGACCACCTAAAAAAATAATTTATTCATAGAGATTCAGTTCAAAAATGCTTCCGTTTTTCGGTGTTTTTTTTGTTATTTCAAACGTTGGCTTCAAGTTAACAATAATTAAACTTTTTAGGCACCGCTAAAATTTTTTTATTTTATTTTTTTAATTGATTGAAAAATTGAAATACGCTAATATTTAAGAAATAAAAAAAGGCGCCAACGACATCTAACCATGTTAAAAATAAATTTCGAAATTTTCACTGTCTATTTTTTTCTCAGAAAACAAAGTTTTTCGGAATAAGTTTTATATTAATAAAAATTTTAGTTACAATTTAATCCACAAGTTAAAAATAAAAAAATTTTTCTACTTACACGCTCTCGAAACCGAGTACAACATTTTTCAACTTTGCGCGGCCTCACGAAGATTAGGCACCGTAAAAAAATTTTTAACTTTTTTTGTCTTAAAAGATTTGTTTTTTTCACTTAAGAATCGAATTCGAAAAATAAAAAAAGGCGCCAACGACATGGAACTAGGTTAAAAACCCGAAGAAAAAAAGTAGTTTTGGTTTTTTGTACGACACTCCGCTAAAACGCTACGAAAATCGGGGGAAAAATATATCAGATTGAAGAGGAAGGTTTTCTCTATGTTTCCACCAAATTTCTCTGTGTTTGATTCAGTATTGCGCTTTTACGAAAACATCAAACACGAAATCTAAAAAATCAGTGCATTTCACCATCGCAAAAAGGGGCGTGGCTCTGCGGTCTCTATCTATAGGGGACAAAAAAGTGCCATCTTTAGGAGTAGAATTTAGGTGGTCCGGGGTTAAGGGTCTTTTTTCCTGCAAAAAAAAAAACGCTATTTACTGAGTTTTTGTATGGAAACGCAATTCCTCATGAAGTTCATAAGCATGTTCCCTATAGTCGCCACTTTTGCATGATTTAGTGACCCTTATAGGGGAACCTTCGAAGGCCCCTCGATTGTCTCTATAGTGACCACTCTGGAGCTCGTAGGTTAATCTTTTTCTTCAGATAATTTTCGAACACTCAAATTTCTGACAAGCTTCAATCCTTGATGATTATCATCATTTTGAGAGTTCCCCCATATTTGATAGCCGATCGATAGAAGACACGAACCCGTCCTTGCTCGTCGATGAGCGGCAGGGCGGAGACCCGATTCTTCAAGAACAACTCCAGGGCGTCGTGGAGAGGCGTGCCGACGTGGCACGAGAGGACGTCGCCCCACGAGCCGATGCCCAGCTCCCGTGGCGTGCTCGTCATGAACTCCGGCTTGGGGAGGTCGTTCATCTACAAAATGAGACTAGTTCAGCTAAATTCTCTTTCGAAATTGAACCAAAAAAGTTGTGATTTTTTTTGTAATGTTATTCCTGTGCTTCTTGCAAAGTATTATTTTTTTGAGAATTTTCAAAATGCCTATGAGGGAGATCGTTTTGCTCACTGGTTAGGATATAGCTAAAAATTGGTCAGAATACTTTTTGATGTACCATACGAAGACCCTAGAGCAAAACTTATCAGTTTTCAAAAAACTACACTACAAGGACAGAAAAATCTGTTGAAAATTGCTGTTTAGAGACTTCGAGCCCTAGTTTCACAAAATCTAGAAGTTATGCAAGTAGAGATTTTGAGGATAGAATAATGAATATTCTGACCAATTTTTCTTCATGGGCTCTAAAAAATTCTGAACTTTTCCGTCAACCTCACCTTCGTAAAGTTATAGCCTTATGCAAACTAAAAAGTAAACAAATCATCAGAGCGTTCCGCGCCCTGTCTCCCGCTCTAATGAGCCGGATTTTTCTTACGTACGTTGCTCCCTATATGGACTACTGTTGTGAGTTGTTCAGTCCCCCCTAGCTTCAGAACTATCTTACACCCTCGAAAAACATCTTCCGTCAATTTACTCGCCAAACATTCATGCGATCAAACATTAGGTTTTCTAGTTATGAAGACAGGTTAGCTCAGATTAACACAAACTCTTTTTTTAGAAGACGAGTCGAATTTTGTCTAAGAACACTACATAAAAATTTATATTAAGGAGAGTCATTTGCCAGTTTCTCACAGTGTTTTCAGGAGATCAAATTCGGTACGTGCTCCATCACGTCTTATCAGAGTAGGGATTCGTTTCGAAAATTTCTTTGAGACGTTCATCCCTCTTTGGAATAAACTGGCTACATTGGGAAACCTCAATGTTTCTCCAGAACGTTTCAGGTCTTTGTTACTATCCCTCGATAATAATTTCCTTTTTCGGAACTATTCCCACCAGTCTCCGTTGAACCAGGTACCCGTGCTTCAGCCCTACTCTCATCCATCTTATGCGCGTCTATATCATCACAAACAATTAAATTCCCCATTCACCTGTGCTACACTGTGTCATAACTTATAATGCTTTCTTTTCTAATTACTTTTTTTTCCCTTGTGCAATCCTCACCTCTTATTCTTTTATTACTGGCTCAGAGGCTCGTGAGGGCCTCAAGTGCCTTTTATTTATTTATTTCAGGCTTAATGCCAAATTTTTTTCTCTGTACATGTTATTTTGTCCTGCCTGTAAATAAATAATATTATATAAAAACTTTCTGAGTTCATTAAAAAATTGAGATTTTCAGAAAGACTGATCTGAAAAAGGGTTGAGTTTAACCCAACGAGCTAGTGCTCAAAGCTCTTCAAGCCAAAAATGAAAAACCTCCAAAAAAAGCTAATTTTTTTCTGGAAAACTGTAGAAAAAAATTTAATTTTTTTGTTGAAAAAAACTTGTTTGAAAACCCACATAAAGGGACAAGAACTTGATGAGCCGTTTGTGAGTGAGAATGTAGGTGATGTTGCCGGTCCGTTTGTCCAAGACCGGGAGTCGATGGACCTTCGATTCGCAGAGTACTTGGACGGCTCGGTGGAGACTGCAAAAGTACGATCATTAGAACTTCCAAATGGAGAATCTTGAGAGCTTCCAGAGCTTGTAAGTATTCTGGAAGTTAAAGTGTATCCCCCCCCGCTTTTTTTCAAAGCCCTTTTCGTAAGCCTATTTATTCATTTTGGTAATTAATTCAGATGATAATCACACATGGGCAGACCGCTCGACCCCTCCTCTCAATTTTTCATAAATTGATGTTTATACTACCTTCTTGAGGCTGAAACTTGTATTTCTGTGAACAAAAGCACCTTCCTGAGGTTGAAAATCAATTTTATCCCTAATTTTTCTGAATTTTCTTGAACCACTCCCTCTTCCCAGGCTGAATGAGTTCTTTACCTGCCCATCTATGATGATAATTGATAAGAAAAAACCCTTTCTGGTAGATTCAACACCAAAGAACGCCCTATTCACCTTTCGTTCGGATCGATAGAGACGAGCGGAGTGAGGCATCCGTCCTGTTCAAACTGTTCACGCCAATGACTAATCTGCTGGTTTTCCAAGGCTCTCATTCGCTCCGCGTTGTCGCCCGCTTCGTAGTGTCTGCAAAAAAATATTTTGAAGTTAAAACCGACTTAATTAATAAACTATTATTATTAACAGACAAAAAAATCTCTGGGAGTGTCATTTACCGTGAGAAAGAGCTTCAAAATTTTTAATAAAATGAATATTTTAGGAGTTTTCCAAAAGGTTCACGAAGAGAGTCAGCTCGCTGAAAAATTCAAGGGTCCCAGGAGCTCTCAAACATCTTGCAAAACTACAGAAATGAAAATACTGTACAAAGTTTTCCAGAAAATTAAGAGATTTCGTTAAAAATCGCGTAAAAATTGTCCACTTTTTCAAGATATTCGCTCACAAACCTGATGAGGATCTTGATAAAGTCGGTGATAGTGAGCATTCCGATGAATTGCTGCTTGTCGGAATCCCACAGCGGCGCAGCACGGACTCCATTGTACACCAGAGCGTAGAACGCTTTGCGAACCTGAAGAAATAATCCTTTTAGGAGGTTTTGAACCATAAAGGACTGGTAAAATCTTGATTCAGCAACGAATTTCTTCAAAACCACTTTTAAGGTTTGGAAATAACCACTTTTTTCGAAAAAATATTTCAAAACCATCCGTTAACTCCTACTAATAAAGACTAAAATAAAATAAATCTTCATTCAAATTACACCCTATTTTTAAAGGAATCCTCTATTTTTGAAGCTTGTATCCTAATTTTCTTTTTAGGATGGAAAATCCTCTCGAGCTTCTTTTGATACTGACTTGTGCTTCAAATTGGACTCTCACTTGGAAAATTTTTTTCTCATAAGGTCTTTAAGCAATTTTATTTCTACAAAACCCAACTGATGTAAAAATATAAAAACTATTTTTCTAAGCTTCAGATCCTTGTGCCCTCTCTAGGGATCACGCTGATCTGTCAATAAGCTTTCACTATGAAAGGCTCGGTAAATTACCGGCAGATGGGTGTCGAAAACGACAAGTTTCGTCGAAGTCGGGATCAAATCGTAGCACTTGTGAGCCTTCATGAACAACGAATACACGGCGTTGTGATTGTCTGGAATTAAAAAAAATTATTCGCAATTATTTTTCATAACAAAAAATGTTCTCTAATAGAAACCTTGATAATTTTCTGTAGAGAATGAAAAAAAAAATTTACAAAAAAAACTGTTGATGAATATCTATCTGCAATGAGAAAAAATAAATCAATACGTTAAAAAGTTGGAAAAATCCATTGAAAAAAACTTAAAGATTAAAAATACTTCAATAAGTAGACTTGAAAAAAATTTAAAAAAACCAATTATTTTAAAAATAATATTCATTTAACTCAGTTCACTGAAACAAGCTATTTTAAAAATAGTTTTGAAAAACTTTTATTTCAATTCCAATTTGCAAGCAAAAAGAAATTTTCAAGTAAAAACTTTTCCAAACTATTTGAAAAACGTGCAGAAAGTTTTTTTTCGAATTTAGCTTTAAAAAAAATTAGCTTCAAAAAAAGCCATGAAATACCAAAAAAGATGGCGTTAAAATCTGAAGAAGCGCCACCGATGGCCATCGAGTCAAACGTCGAAAACAAGGACGCCTGGAAGAAAAAAATGAAAACTAACTGTCATCGGAAGTGTTCCAGGTATAGTAATCGAAGACGGGATCGGAGAGAGGAGCTCGGACGGCTCCGGGCGAAAGTCGCATGGGCGGCAGAGGGGTCGACGTGGCCGAGGTCCGTCTTCGCGGCACCTTGAAGATGATGACCGGAGGCTGGGGCTGCGGCTTCGGGGCGGCGTCGTCGAGCTTCTGGAGCTCGCCGTTCGAGTCGACGTGGAGATGGCCGACTCTACTTCGGCCATAGTGTCCGGAGGCCGGGAGGGACTTGACCGTGTCGTAGTTCGACTGGGTGAAATCGTCGTCGTCCTCCTCCTGCTCCACGATCACGTCTTCCGCATCTTTGGCCCTTCTCTTCGTGCTCCGGCCAAAGAGCGTCCTTCTCAAGGTCCCGGTGGCCCTAGACTTGGCGGCCTTCACCCAGCCTTGCTTCTTCTTCGTCGCCGGCGCCTTCGTGACGACGGTCGGCTCTTCGTCGACACTGATCACGAGGTCTTCCAAAGGCGGCGGCTGCACTGGCGGCGAGGTTCGACTCGATTTCGCAACCATTCTCTCTTTTTTCAAAATACGGCAACTGTTCTCGGTTTCAGAGGGAGTTCAAGTAGTGGCTTGAGCTGAGAAGAACACGTGGCGTGACGTCATTACTGGGCCATTCCAGCCACCAACTATTGTCAAATGAAGTTCGTTTGGGGTTCGATGAGAGTTCTGGAAAAAGGGAAAAATAAAAAAATGGAATGACGTAAATGAGCGAGAGAAACGAGAGAGAGAAAATTAAACGAGTTTAGGAAATATTCGAAATTGGAAAAGCTTTCTAAGGAATTAAATGTCTTGAAACGAGTTAAAAAACATTTTTTTTTTCCAAGTTTCAAGGACCCATGACTTGAACGCTAAAAAAACTACGAAAAAAATTTTAAAAAAAATCTGGGTCTTACAGCGATTGCATCATCGAACCATTAAGTAAACTGTGAAATCAAACTACAAGAAAACTAAAGTACGAACTACAAAGAAAAGTAACGAGTAGGAACGAAAATCAACAAAAATGATGGAGAACAAGAATTACGAAGATTTTCGAATATTTTCGAAAAACATGAAAATGGGCGTGACCAGGAGATCAGCGTCGTTTGAACTTTCGAAATTGCGTCAGAGTCAAGTTTTTTGAGTTGGAAAAGGAGGAGAAAGACTCAAGAATCTTGAAAAAATTGTTTTACAGTTCCAAGAGAAAATCCAGAAGCCTAAAAACTCTATAGAACGTTAAAAAAAAGTGAAAATGATAATAAAGTTTATTAAAACCTCAAATCCGCGTTAGAGCACTCATAGTTAGATTTAAACTTTTTTCGGAAGTTATCAAGCTTCAAAATGACTGAAAACTTTCGGAAAAATGATGGCAAACAGTTCAAAATTACAAAAAGATCTTTAGAAGTCTCAGAAATCGTGATAGGACTCCGCAAAGCCAAATTGCATCAGAGCAAACTTATCGAGATCTATGAGGAGATCAGAGAGGGCAAAAGTCAGTCCGAGGCCCAAAAAATGCGGAAAAAACGTAGAGAATCGATAGAAAAGTTCCACGCCAAAAACGAAAAAAGGTGATTCATCGGTGAGAACGCTTCGTATTCCTCTTGCAAGAAGACAAACAGAAAAGGTCTAAAGAGTCATCGATAAACACAGCTTATAAAAGTCCACGGAGAACTCCTCTACTTATCTTTTTGTTTTCCATCGAGAAAAGTTCTTGGTAAACAGATAAAGTTCAGGTGGAGGTTGAAGATCCTTGATAAATTTAACCAGTAAAAAATAAATCGGGATGACTTGACGATTAAATGGCGCGTAGGGGTTGCTAGAAACTGCGTCGGACCTCAAACGATTTGCACGCTGAGGCATCAGTTAGTATTAGAGCAAGCATCTGGTATTCTTTTTGTGACAGCGAGGCGACCGCGACGCTGTAAGCCATTCCAAATGCGAGCAGGACATTTTGAGTTACAGCGAATGGAGTATATTAACTGACTCTAACCTTTAATTTAAAAGATCTGAATACTGGATCTTTTTTGGAACAAATTTAAAAATTTGTCATTGGAGCAGTATTTCCATTTGAACTGCAGCTCTAATTTCCCGGAAAAAAGTACCTCAACTTTTCAAAAAAGCCCTAAAAAGTTTCTTCAGAGTTTCCGAACGCAGAGATCACTTCGAGAAAACCTTTAAAAAAGGTTAGAAAGACACCATTTCCTTTTATTGAAGGCTCAAATATTTGCCCTACAAACATACCCGAACATACCATTTCCCTACATGGACATGGAACCTTTGCAACAAGTTCAAACTTCTTAAAAACCATCAAATTCGATGAAAAAAGGTCCTCAAAACTTCTGAGTGAACTCAATGCCTTCAAAATTCAGGAACAAGAAAGAAAATTCTAAAATGAATTAGACCAGAAATCGCTGTAATTTCCACTCTTTTCTCAAAAGAAAGACCAAGGCGAAAACGACCCAAATACTTCAAAAAAAACAGAATTTTCTATACGAGTTTCTTGCCAAAAAACACTCAAAGCGATCCAGAAACCTTCGAAAATTGGGCATGAAACTATTGAAAAAAGATAAACTTCAATTTTCCTTCAAAGGTGCCTAGGAATAAACATTTCTGCTTTTATTGAACGTTTAGATCAAAAACCTTAAAAACTTCCTCAGTTACCGAACGAAAAAGACCCATAACCCTTAAAAAGACTCAAATTTTCAACCTCAAGAAGAAATTTTCTAGTTTTAAAAACCCAAAAAAGACCTTCAAAATTGAACTTTCACCTCAAAAAATCGTCAAACATTCGCGCGAAAATCTTTGAAAATCGTGACAATAAAAGGTTGTGTCCGTCCCATAAAAGTGGCCTATTAGATTTTGAAAAAGGGAGACCAGGAGATGCAATAAAAGGCGAAAAAAGCACAAAATGACGCAAATTTTGGGGTCCTTTCCGCGCAAAATGTTTTCCGATTTCTTATCTTCTTGTTCAAGGTAATGGGGAACTACAGATCGCTGATAACTGACCAAAACCGCTTAATCATTGCACTTTCGGCTGATAAAACAAGGAAAATTTGTCGAGAAACAACAGTTTTTCTGCAAAGTCTTTCAGAATACTCACCGAGTTTTGAGTCCCACTACAGAAAATCAAACCTTCAAAGGAAGAAGGATCAAAGAAACAGGGAAAAGAGAGAATAGAAAACTGTCGGGAAAACCCTCGGAATCAACCATTTTAATCGTCAACCTCGCCCCACAAAATTACCATAATCCGGGGTTTTTCCCGATTTTTCGATTTCCAACAAGTGAATTCTTTTCACTAGATCAAGAATCGTGGAATCAAGCAGAGTAAAACGAATTCTAAATTAAGTTTTTTTTTTCACGATTTGCCAGTCGAAAGCCATTAAAATAATAGAAAAAAAGCCTATTCGAAAATTTGGAACAAAAAAAAGGGGAAATATTTTCGAATCGAAACGTTTCGGAGAAATCCCCAACTCCTTTCATTTTTGTCGAGTTAAAAATTTCAGAAGTCGGTACTTTCCGATAAAAAGCACCACCCGAACACTTAAAAGCTTCGAATCCACTAAAAAAGGAAGAAACTTGACCTCAAATTGCGTCAAATTCAATCGTCTTGTAATCTGAAACAAATTGAAGTGCTTCCAGGCGAAAAAAAACGACGGCACTTCTCGTGGAGATAAAATTCCATTTCGGAACGTTTCGGAAGTAGAATTCAGTGGAATATGATACCAATGTGTTGGATTTCGAAAATTGAGAAAAAATGACGAAAAAAAAAATCTAATGGTGTACAAAAAAGCGTTGCGGTTGAAAGTCGCATGTCTTTGAAACTTTTTATGCCCCGGCGCGCGAGTCGCTTCAGGTCGGAGAGAGCTTCTTCAAACTACCAATTTGCAGACGTTCTTCCAGGATATTCTGACTTGATATTTTTTTTGAGTCTGAAGAATCTAAAATTATTATGAAAAAAAGTTGAAAATTTTCTATTTTCCAAGATTTTCCAAATGAAAGTTCAAGTTTATTCAGAAGTACCGTAGCATCCAGAGAAAAAAAACCATTTTTCTGCATTTTTCTGCAAAAACTTGTAGGAAAACCTTCTCTCTCCGGCTCAAAAAACAATTGGGTGGAAGAAAATTGGCGACGACAAAAAAAAGGAGATGCTCACACGCGGCACTGAGCATCACAAACGCGTGAAAAAAGGGAGAAATGACGTGGAATTCCTTTTTTCCTCCTACTTTTTTCGGCAATTTGATTAATTCTCATCGCCTGCTTCGTTTTTGTCAAGTTTGCCATGTATAGTTTGTATCAAAATATTTTCTTTCATGATTTCGACGGCAAAGAAAGACTTGAACGACGAAATCAAGAAATCAAACTTTTCTTCGTGACTCAAGAGCATTAAGAAAGTTTGATTTTCCTAAAAAAAAATGTTTTAAATTTGAAAAAAATTTACTCAATCTCAAAAGTACCAAATTTTGAAGTAAAATTCAACTTTCCCATGATTCTGTCGATAAATTCATACTTAATACTTGTTAAAAAAAACAAACAAAGCGTTTCAAAAATGCATCGAAAAGTCGAAAAAATCTCCAAAAATGTTATGAAATTTCATGATGATATCCTTTTCCAAAATGATGAAATCTTTCGAAAACGTTAAAGCCTAAGCTCAAAAAATTATGAAACACCTTTTCGAAAATTTAAAAACGATGAATATTTTTTTAATAACCTAAGAAGCGGCTCACTTCCCCTCAACACAATCCTATCATACAATAAAAATAAAAATAATAAAAAGGCTCAAAATCTGCAGCTCTACAACCCGAATGCAAAAAAAGGAGAAAATCGAATTAAAAAAAGTTTCAAGTGATGGAATCTCCTAAGAATAATCCCAAGTTCTAGCTCAGAAAAAAAAATTTTTGAAGTCGCTCAAAAAAGTTCAAAAAGCGCTATAACTCCATTCCAACACTGCTGCTCGACTGCGTGGGTGCGATAAGAAGTCAAAAAAAAAGAAAAAAAAAAGTTGGAAAGATGTTCGAAGGAGAACGAGGCAGGCAGAGTTGTCGGGGACTCGAATAACGGATGGATCAAAAGGGCGAAAGTCAAAAAAAAAGAGAAAGAATGGGAGGAAAACTCAAAAGCCGAGGAGGAGCAGAGAAAAGCCCATCCCATTAAACTCGACTCAACTCAACTCGGCTTTGGCTCCGGAACGGAAAATGAGAGAGAAAAAATGGGGAAAATGCATCGTTTTCTTCCAATTTATTCTACACGTTCTTCCTATTTTTAATTTTTTCTATTGCTGTTATTCTAATGAGGGTAAAAAAATAAAAAACGGAAAGAGTTTTGAAATATTAGCCAAGAAATTCTGAAAGCTATCAAATTGAATTAAGCAACCTTGACGGGAACAGCTTTTTATTATTTCCTTTTTTTCAATATGTTCATAGTGTTTTTCGCGTTTTCTAAAAAAATCAAATTTTTTTAAGTCCTCTCAAAAGTTGGAAGGAGGCTTTTTAAGAAAAAAAAAACTCATTATAAAAATTTTTCTGTTTTTTTGTTTT